AGGAATGTCTCTCTGAGGGCTACAGCAGTGCATATGATATCTGAATTCGGATTTGATGCGCTCCTAGATTGGAAATGTTTCTCAGAAGTCAACAGCTGAAATTTTAATTCCGGCATTTTTCGCACCAATCCAACATTTTCCAGTATTTTAATGGCTGTATGCGCAAGACGAACATTGCGCACCTGATCTGATTTCAACTTTAATGTATTGAAAATGTAGACTTGAGGTAGCTGCGAGGATTGGTATGCGCCATAAAGGAACGCTGCGCCAGCGAGTTTGGGAGACGGAGACGGAAGAGAAGATATAGCCTTCGATTTCCCTCCCGTTTCCCACACTCGCTGACGCCCCTTGTTTTCCAATCAATTCCCTTCTCCTTCCCGTCATACTCTATTCTCTCAACCCTCCCCCTCCCATCCCTCCTCTCTCGCACGCATACACCCACTCCGTTCACTCACCTTTCTCTCCCCGTCTCTCTTAATCTTTCACCCTCCTGTCTCTTTCATCCTCTTCCCACACCCCTTTCCCACCCCCCTTCCCCCCCCCCCCTTCCCCCCCCCCTTTCCCCCCCCCTTTCCCCCCCCCTTTCCCCCCCCTTACCCCCTACCTCCTTCCTTTCTCCCACCCTCCCTACTTCCCTCTCGCATTTCTTACCGGACCAGGGGGAAGATACACAGCGCCAGAGGACACGTTGCTAGGATACTGTGAGTCAACTCTTAAGAATCCGCTCCCTCGGTTCCCCCACTTTGTTCAATTCCCTCTTTCAATTCTTTCCCGGCCAGGGGGAAGAGACATCACCAGAGGACACGCCAGCAGGAGCGGAGGCAGCGCGCTTCGTGGTGGGGTCCAAGATATGGGTGGCGCATGAGAAGGCGGCGTTTGCTGCAGCTGAAGTCACGGCGGTGCAGGACAATGGGGAGACCGTTGAGGCCATTCTCGTGGATCCCAAGGGGGACGACAAGGTGGGTAAATCACCCTGGAAAATATTGTGGGGGGAGGGTCCAAGATATGGGTGGCGCATGAGAAGGCGGCGTTTGCTGCAGCTGAAGTCACGGCGGTGCAGGACAATGGGGAGACCGTTGAGGCCATTCTCGTGGATCCCAAGGGGGACGACAAGGTGGGTAAATCACCCTGGAAAATATTGTGGGGGGAGGGTCCAAGTGGCGCATGAGAAGGCGGCGTTTGCTGCAGCTGAAGTCACGGCGGTGCAGGACAATGGGGAGACCGTTGAGGCCATTCTCGTGGATCCCAAGGGGGACGACAAGGTGGGTAAATCACCCTGGAAAATATTGTGGGGGGAGGGTCCAAGATATGGGTGGCGCATGAGAAGGCGGCGTTTGCTGCAGCTGAAGTCACGGTGGTGCAGGACAATCGGGAGACTGTGGAGGCAATTCTCGTGGATCCCAAGGGGGATGATAAGGTGGGTAAATTATCCTATAAAATCTTGTATTGGGGTCCAGGATATGGGTGGCGCATGAGAAGGCGGCGTTTGCTGCAGCTGAGGTCATGGCGGTGGGGAGACTGTTGAGGCCATTCTTGTGGATCCCAAGGGGGGCGGCAAGGTGGTTAAATTACCCTGGAAAAATATGTTGTGGGTGGGATCCAAAATATGGGTGGCTCGTGAGAGAGGAGCGATTGCTCACTGAAAGCACATGTCCTTCACGCCGCGATTGCCCATTCTCTCACCCCCACGCCTCTCTGCAGGGAGGAGGACGAGGAGAAGGACCCCAAGGACGGACGACAGGGGAGGCTGGTAGTAGTACCACGTGCACCAGTGTAACCGCATCGCATTGCCCTCCCAACCCCACGCCTCTCGGCAGGTGCTCGTCCCCGCTAGGGAGTGCTTCCCCAGGGAGGAGGACGAGGAGAAGGATCCCAAGGACGGACGACAGGGGAGGCTGGTAGTGCCACCTGCACGAGCCCGGCGTGCTCTGATGTGATGTGAGGTGCCTCACTAACCCACACAAGTCGCACATAACCCCCACCTTCGCCCTGGCCCTTTCTACAGGTGCTTCTTTCCTCGCGGGAGTGCTTCCCCAGGGAGGAGGACGAGGAGAAGGACCCCAAGGACGGACGACAGGGGAGGCTGGTAGTGCCACCTGCACGAGTGTGCCACTTGCACGAGTGTATTCGCTTCGCATCCCTGTTCCCTCATCCCCATCCCATGCCCCAGGTGCGTATCCCCGCTAGGGAGTGCTTCCCCAGGGAGGAGGACCCCAAAGACGACATGGTCAAGCTGGACCACCTGCACGAGCCGGGCGTGCTCGGATGTGATGTGAGGTGCCTCAATACCCCACACAAGTCACACATAACCCCCACCTTCGCCCTGGCCCTTTCTGCAGGTGCTCATCCCGGCCAGAGAATGCTTCCCCAGGAAGGAGGACGAGGAGAAGGACCCCAAGGACGGACGACAGGGGAGGCTGGACCACCTGCACGAGCCGGGCGTGCTCGGATGTGATGTGAGGTGCCTCAATACCCCACACAAGTCACACATAACCCCCACCTTCGCCCTGGCCCTTTCTGCAGGTGCTCATCCCGGCCAGAGAATGCTTCCCCAGGAAGGAGGACGAGGAGAAGGACCCCAAGGACGGACGACAGGGGAGGCTGGACCACCTGCACGAGCCTGGCGTTGTGATGGGATGTAATGGGATGTGATCTGATGTGTGGTTCCTCAAGACCCCAAACGACTCACAAATGGTTTCTACCTTCACCCACACCCGTTTGGCAGGTGCTCATCCCCGCTAGGGAGTGCTTCCCTAGAGAGGAGGACGAGGAGAAGGACCCCAAGGACGACATGGTGAAGCTGGACCACCTGCACGAGCCTGGTGTGCTCAGATGTGTGATGGCGATGTTGATTGAGGTCATGGTGCCTCAATACCCCACACAACTCACACACGGCTCCTGCCTTGCCCTGCTGGCCCTTTCTCCAGGTGCTTATCCCCGCGCGGGAGTGCTTTCCTAGAGAGGAGGACGAGGAGAAGGATCCCAAGGATGACATGGTGAAGCTGGACCACCTGCACGAGCCGGGCGTGCTGCACAACCTCAAGCGGCGATACGTGCGCAACGCAATTTATGTGAGTGGCGCTTGCTCTCAAGCCTGGTGCTTTCAAAAGCTGGTGCCCCTATAGATGCACCACCCACCTGCACGAGCCTGGTGTGCTGCACAACCTGAAGCGCCGCTCTACGTGCGCAATGCAATTTATGTGAGTGCTGCTTGATTCCAAGGTGGTCATCGTCGTGCTTTCACAAGCTGGCGTGCCTCAATAGCTGGACCACCTGCACGAGCCCGGTGTGCTGCACAACCTCAAGCGGCGCTACGTGCGCAACGCCACCTACGTGAGTGGTAGTGCTTGAATTCAAGGTAATTGTGTGTTCATAATATGGTGTGAGGGGTCTTTAGGGCTGCACCACTCTCATGGATCCTTTCCCCATTCTCTTTAATCCTCTGTCTACCATTTCCATACCAACCCGACTCCCCTTCCCTCCTTACCCCAAATCCTCCATGCGAACTTACCCAGGACCCATTTTCATCGCAGTCAACCCCTTCACATACCTGCCAGGCCTCTACCACCCACATCTCAAAGGCCATCTCATCCCATTCCCTTTCCCCATCCTCTTCAATCCTTTGTCTATCCTTTCCATTCTCCCAACCGTTTCCTACCCCTGCAGACGTACACAGGCACCATTCTCATCGCAGTCAACCCCTTCATATACCTGCCAGGCCTGTACCACCCACAGCTTAAGAGCCAGTACCGGAACGTACCACTGGGACAGCTCAGCCCACACGTATTCGCCATTGCAGACCATGCCTACAGGTATGTGTGTCTATGGTGAGTGGGTTGCGTGCACTTGTATGTATCCTTATACCCTAACCGAACCGCCTCACCCCCCCTTGCTGTTTCCTTCCCCTCCATCCCCTCACTCACTCCATCCCTTTCATCCAACCACACTCCCACGCGCTCCTTCCCATGCTCACACACACTCGCACTCCTACACATGCACACTCTCTCACTCACGCCCCAACACAATTTTCGCACACAGGTCCATGAGGGAGGCGGGGCGCAGCCAGTCTGTTTTAATCAGTGGGGAGAGTGGTGCCGGCAAGACAGAGACCACCAAGCTCGTAATGGAGTACCTGGCGGGGGCAGGGGTGGCGGATAAGGCTGCTGCTGCTGCTGCTGGGGCTGCAGGGGCCGTGGGCATGGGGGGCGGGAGGAGAGGGAGGCGGGGAGGAGTGGAAGCAGTGGTGTCTGCTGAATCGACTCAGTGTGTTGAGAGAGTGCTGCAGGTGAGTGGGGTGGGGTGGGTTTGGAGCGGGTGTGGGGTTGAGTGTTGGAGGTGAGTGGGGTGGGTGTGGAGAGAGGAAGCGCCTGGCAGGGGCAGGGGCCGCGGATGAGTGGGGTGGGTGTGTGTGCTTAGAGCGAGTGTAGGGGTGAGTAGTGTGTGTGCGTGCAACGGGTGCTGAAGCTGACAGGCGTGGGCGTGGAGAGAAGAAGCTGACAGGCGTGGGCGTGGAGAGAGGAAGCTGACAGGCGTGGGCGTGGAGAGAGGAAGCTGACAGGCGTGGGCGTGGAGAGAGGAAGCTGACAGGCGTGGGCGTGGAGAGAGGAAGCTGACAGGCGTGGGCGTGGCGAGAGGAAGCGCCTGGCAGGGGCAGGGGCTGCGAATAAGGCTGCGGTTGCCGCTGGGGGGATTTGAAATGACCAAGGCTGAGAAGGAATGGACACTCCTCCCTTCGTATTCTTTCCATTGTAGCTCAGCTCAGCCACTTCCCAGTCTCGCCCACTCGAATTTTGAGACGTCTCAAGGCTTAGAAGGGATGGGCACACTCCTCTTCCTTCCTATTCTTTCCGTTGCAGCTCAGTCACTTCCCAGTCTCGCCCACTCGAACACACCCACCCCCCCTGCTTCCTTCCTTTCCCGCCTGCCCTCCCCATCCTCCTCTGCTGCTCGTCTCCTTCCTTCCCTCACCCCCCTCCCCACTCACCCCCGCTTTCCCCCAGCAACCCCCCTCCCACCACATCTCCCCTCTCCCCCTCATGCCCCACTCCCTCATCACCCCTTCCCTCCCAATCCCCCTTTCCCCCCCCTCCCCCATCATCCCCCAACCCCCTCTCAGTCGAACCAAGTCCAGAGATGTTTGGGAACGCCAAGACAGTGCGCAACATCAACTCATCCCCCTCTCCCATCATCTGCGCAACATCAACTCATTCCCCCTCCCCCACCCCCTCTCTCTCCCTTCTCTTCCCAGTCGAACCAAGTCCTGGAGACGTTTGGGAACGCTAAGACAGTGCGCAATAACAACTCGAGGTGAGACAGTTGCGTATCTTGGCAGGGGTGATTGACAGGGGTGCCAGGGGTGATTGACAGGGGTGCCAGGGGTGATTGACAGACAGTGTCGAAGGGTGCCAGGGGTGGTTGACAGCACTCCTTCTGAAGCTTCTTAGACAGCCCCGACACATTCTTCCCTTCCCACTCCCTGTGCTCTGCCTATTCTCCACAACCCCCCCACCCCGCCTCCCCCCCAGTCGTTTTGACCAGTTCATTGAGAGTCACTTTGACAGTGGCGGCAGGGTGACAGGAGCAGCCATCCAATCCAACAGATCCCTTGTGGAAGCACCTTAGACCAACGCTGACACACCCTTCCCTTTCCACTCCTTCTGCTCTGCCCATTCTTCCTCTCCCCCCCACCCCTCCCTCCTCCTCTCCCCCACCCCCTCCCCCCCGCCCCCCTCCCCCACCTCCTCCCCCCCCTCCCCCCCCCCCTCCTGCCCCAGTCGTTTTGGCAAGTTCATTAAGATTCACTTAGACAGCGATGGGAGGGTGACGGGCATATTTTTGAGTCGACTTGAAAAACAGCGACAGCAGGGTGACAGGAGCAGGTGACCATTCGCTGAAACCCCTGCTGCTGACGCACCTTAAACCAGCCCTGTCACCAGACCATTCGGTGAAACCCCCGCTGCTCACCTGCTTGGGAGGGTGACGGGCTGATGCACCTTAAACCAGCCCTGTCACACGCCTCTCCTCCCACACCCTCTGCTTCTTTTCATCCCCCCCCCCTCTCCCCTCAGTCGCTTTGGCAAGTTCATTGAGATTCACTTCGACAGCGACGGCAGGGTGACAGGATGACATGACAGGTTACCCTGATACAACCGTCCCCTCCCACCCCCTCTGCTCTGCCCATTCTCCCTTCTGCCTCTGCCCATTCTCCATTCTGCCTCTGCCCATTCATTCCTTTTGCCCCAGTCGCTTCGGCAAGTTCATTGAGATTCACTTTGACCCCAACGGCAGGGTGACAGGGGCACCCATTCGATCGCTAAAGCCCCTGCTGACGCACCCTTCCCTGCACATGCTCTCTGCCTCTGCTCCTGCCTCTGCCCATTCATTCCTTCCCCCCCCAGTCGACGGCTGGGTGACAGGGGCAGCCATTCTCCACGCCCTGCGCTCTGCCCATTCTCCATTCTCCCCCCCCCAACCACCCCTCTCCCATCCACCCCTCTCCCTCCGAGTCGTTTTGGCAAGTTCATTGAGATTCACTTTGACAGCGACGGCAGGGTGACAGGAGCAGCCATTCTCCACGCCCTGTGCTCTGCCCATTCTCAACCCCTTCCCCCTCACCCTCTTCCCCCCGTCCCCCTCCCACCCAGTCGCTTTGGCAAGTTCATTGAGATTCACTTTGATAGCGATGGCAGGGTGACAGGGGCAGCTATTAGATCGTACCTGCTGGAGCGGTCCAGAGTGGTGCAGATCAATAGCCCTGAGCGCTCCTACCATTGTTTCTACCAGCTGCTCTATGGGGCCACGCCCGAGGTGAGAGATTGAGGAAATGAGTGATAGAGTGAGTGTGGGGGTGAGCGAGAAAGTGAGAGAGGGAGAGTGTGATGATGTGTCTGTGCATTTCAGCCACCCAGCCATAGGAAGAGTGAGTGAGCGAGTGAGAGAGGGAGTGAGTGAGGGAGTGAGGGGGGGAGTGACGGAGTGTCGGTGATGTGCATGTGACATGTTTCACGAGCTGAGATGAACATGTTGTGATTAAGCCTTCGATCGAGCTGAGCCAAACGAGATGTGCACTTGATGCCTTTTTCAGTTGACTCAAAAGATGTGTATGCGGCATGTGGCATGTGTTAGAATTTATATATTATAGCATGCGAACACTCCTGACTGTACACCAAGAGTGGTGTACAGTTGGGTTGGTTCAGGCTCTAGTTTTGGGTGTATTGCAGGTAGACACCCTAATTGGGGTGAACCCAAATATCCTAGCTTAGACTTGGCTCCAACCTTGTTGGCCAAATGGGGCAACCAACTTTGGTTGGTTGGCCACCACCCCACTAGGGTTGGTTGGATGGTCCTTCCTCCCACTAGCCTACTTGGTCTTGGTGTCTTATGTGCTAGGTTTGGTGTTCTTCTCCAAACTTCTCTCCCTTGTATAACCTTGTGCTCTCTTGAGCTAATATCATCCATTCTTCCTCAAGTTTCTACAGCTTCTAGTTTCTTTCATGGTATTCAGAGCCTAAGGCAAACGCCACTAGATCCTAGACCTTCACTTTTTTTTCCTATCTTCCCTTATACACTCCAGCAGCTAAGAGAAGTCGCGACCTTTCTTAGCAACCTAACCGTGCTTCCCCTACTCTTCGCGCCACTCTGCTAGCATCCGTGCGGGCCCTCCTGCTCGTCGCATCACCTCTGCTAAACGGCCGCGCAGGCCACGTGGACCCCTCTGCCCGTCGCGCCATCACTATTAGCAGTCGCGCGGACCCCTTTGACCGTGGCGAAATCACTGCTAGCAGTCGCGCGGGTCAATTTCACCGTCGCGAAGTCCCTGCCAGCAGTCGCGCGGGTCAATCTCACCGTCGCGAAGTCCCTGCCAGCAGTCGCGCGGGTCAATTTCACCGTCGCGAAGTCCCTGCCAGCAGTCGCGCGGGTCAATTCCACCGTCGCGAAGTCCCTGCCAGCAGTCGCGCGGGTCAATTTCACTGTCGCGAAGTCCCTGCCAGCAGTCGCGCGGGTCAATTTCACCGTCGCGAAGTCCCTGCCAGCAGTCGCGCGGATCGTTTTCACCGTTGCGAATCCTCTGCTAGCGGTCGCATTGCTTCATTTGACCGTCACGGCACCTCTGCCAGCAGCTGCGGAGGCCCTTCTGCCCGCCGCGTCACCCCTCCTCCCAGTCGCACGGGCCCCTCTAAGCGTCACGCCACCCCTGCCGGCAGCCACGCGAGCCTCCCTGCCCATCGTGCTACCTCCTCCAGCACCCACCTGAGCCCTGCAGAGCAACTGCGCGGCCCTCCCCGCGTTTCACGCAGATCCCTACACAGCAGCGGGACTCAACAGCAGCAGCAGCGTGACTGGACAGCAGCAGCAGCGTGACTGGACAGCAGCAGCAGCGTGACTGGACAGCAGCAGCAGCGTGACGCGTGGCTGGACAGCAGCAGCAGCAGGTCTGGACAGCAGCAGCAGCGTGACTGGACAGCAGCAGCAGCGTGACTGGACAGCAGCAGCAGCGTGACTGGACAGCAGCAGCAGCGTGACTGGGCAGCAGCAGCAGCAGGTCTGGACAGCAACAGCAGCAGGACTGGACAGCAGCAGTAGCAGGACTGGACAGCAGCGGCAGCAGCAGGACTGGACAGCAGCAGCAGCAGCACTGGACAGCAGCAGCGGCAGCATTGGGCAGCAGCAACAGCGTGACTGGGCAGCAGCAGCAGCAGAGCTGAACGGTGGCAGCAGCACTCATGGCGACTGACTCCGTGCCTATTGATACTGGCTCCATTGTTCGCCTGGAAGTCCAGGATGGCACTACTGCACTGAATTGGCACCGTTTCTCACAGAGCCTCACCGGTGTCCTCCGCTCCACCATTATTGGCGGTGTCAACCTCCATTCCGTTGTCTTTGCCGAACTGGATGGCCTTGAGCCCAAGCCACCTCCCCTCCTTGGTCTTGAACCTCCTCCTCCACCACCCCATCCTGGCGAAGCACCTCGCCCGCCCGATCTCCCTCGCCTCGTTTCTGACAACACCACCAATGCCTCACGCCTCACCACCTACGCGGAGGAGGTAGCGACACACACGCAACTGGTGGATACCCACAAGGCAGCCCTTGCTGCTCACACCTTGGCTGCTGCCCTTCATGCGAAGTACGTTGCCGATAAGACGTCTTACACCTCCCAACTGACTGATTTCAATACTCGCCATGCCACCTGGTGCCTTGCCGACACTCGGGCTATTGGCCTCATCAACTCCTGCATCCCGACCTCGCTCCAGAGCGAGCTTGACGCCACTTCCTCTGCAGTTCTTTGGCGCGCCCTCTGTGATCTGTATGACCGTCGGGACATCGCATCTCTTCATGCCCTCTACCGTGACTTCAACGCTATCACCCTTGACAACTGCACCGGCACAGCTGACTATACCCATCGCCTCAACAACACAGCTCGGCGTCTTCGGGAGCGTGGCGCCACTATTGACGACCCCCTCCTCATTTGGCGCATCCTCGAGGGACTCACCCCGGCTTATGAGATGCACCGCATCGCCTACGACATTGTTCTCTCTCCCCACGCCACGGCTGCCGAAGTCACCACATGGGTCCTTGATACTGAAGCCAAACTTACCCGCCAGTCCCCCTCCACCCTCAACTTCACACAGGGACGCGGAGGGCGTGGGGGGCGTGGTGGCAAGGGTCGTGGTGGAGGGAGTGGCGGGGGCGGTGGTGGTCGAGGTGGAGGGGCTAGCAGTGGCGCTACGGGTGGGACGTCGGGAGGTGACGGGGGTGCTGGTCGTGGTGGACGCTCAGGGGGTTTCCCTCCTTGCTCCTATGTCATTCGACAGGGCCCCAACAAGGGCCACCGCTGCAACCAAACCACCCATCCTACTGAAACCTGCTTCAAGGCCCTCAGTGATGAGTGGTTTGCTCGAGGCAATACAGGTACCCCTCCTCGCTGGGCCACTGTTACCCCTCGCCCCACTGTTCATGACGTTCGAACACTTCCCGCCTATCAGCCACCACCTTCTCAGCTCCACCAGACTCTGGCGAGTCACCTGCCTCCCCACCTCCTGCACCAGGTGCAAGTCTTTCTTCCCCCCCTTCCAGATCCACAGCCTCAACAGCAGCAGCAGCAACAGCAGCAGCAGCGGCAGCAGCAGCAGCAGCTGCACCAGATGCACCCGGGGTTCCAGGGCCTTCCGCCTATGCAGTAGCAGTACCTGGGGCCACAGCATCACCCGGGATTCCTGGGTCCCCCCCTCCTCCCTTATCCTCCCCAGCCACAGCAGCCCCTTCTCCAGCAACAGCCATACTCTGGCTACCCCTTTGCCCCCCCCAGTGTCTCTGACACTCAGGGCAGTTTCCTCGGTCATGTTACCGTTGCACCGTCTGTCGCTTCCATGTATCCCTCTGCTATTAATGAGACGCTTTTCCAGTACACCGTGTCACATCCCCCTCCTTCCTCCCCCACCTTGGACTTTGTCCTTGATAGTGGGGCCACAGAAACCGCACTGAAGGATGCTGGCACCCTCACTCCCCTTCCTCTTCCCACTCAGGTTCACGGTGCCGACACCAGTTTTTCCATCCCATGCACTCACCTCTCCACTCTACCTTGCTCCGCTTTCCCATCTGGTACAGTCACAGGTCTCCACATCCCCACCCTTCGCAACAACCTCCTCTCCCACCGTGAGATACAAGGCGCTGGTATTACCGCTATTTACCCTGGTAATGCTTCTTACTGTGATCTCTACAACACTGCTTCTGGTCGCTTCCTCCTACGCATTCCCCTTTGCCCTCGCACTCGCCTTTACACGCTCCGCACACCTCGTCCCTCCTCCTGTCAGGTCACCACTCGTGCTGGCACTTCCACCAGCCCCCCTCCCCCTCCCCCTAACCCTCCCCCCCAGGTATCCTCCTCCCCTACGTCATCCCCCTCATCCTCCTCCCCCTCTCCTTCCCCCACTCCATCCCCCTCCTCCTCTAATCACCTCTCCCACCCTGCTGTGCTCTTGCATCACAGGCTAGGCCACCCAAAATTCGCTGCACTTCGCACTGCCGTCACATCTCGCCTCCTCGACAGCCTCCCCCCCACTCTTTCTCAAACAGTCTTCCCATCACAGCCATCCCACTTTTGCAGCTGCTCCCCTTGACCTTGTTCACATGGACCTGTGGGGCCCTTATCCCATCCGCTCTCGCCAGGGGCACCGGTACATGCTCGTCCTCGTCGACGACCACAGTCGGTACTCTACTGTCTTCTTCCTTCACACGAAGGATCAAGTGCCGGCTGTGGTCATTGCCTGGGCTGAGCAGTGCCGCACACACTTCAAACGCCCCATCAGCCGCCTTCACTCTGATGGTGGGGGTGAGTTCCTCAATCATACCCTCTCCACTTACTGCAAAACCCGCGGCATTCAGCAGACCCACACCCTCCCCCATTCCCCTCAGCAGAACGGCATCGCTGAGAGTCGCATTCGTGAGATCACCAAGATTGCTCGTTGCCTTCTTGCTCACGCCTCCACCCCTCCTTCCCTCTGGAGCTATGCCCTCCTCCATGCTGCCCTCCTCCTTAATCTCCGCTCCCACCCTCAGCATTCCTCCTCCTCCCCCACAGAACTTTGGTCTAAGGCCAAGCCTGACGCTGCTGGCCTTCGCGTTTCGGGCTGCAAGGCGTTCGTCCTCATCCCTCCGGCTGATCGCTCCCGTGCTGCCGGCAAGCTCGCCTCGCGTGCCCTGGAGTGCGTCTACCTCGGGCACAATCGCGATTCCCCAGGCTACCTGTTCCTCCACCCTCCCTCCAGTCGCCTCATCCGCAGCATTGACGTCGTCTTCGACGAGTCCATTCCTTACTACTCCACTCCTCCTCCTGACCCTCTTCCCCCTCCCTCCCGCCCCCTAGTTTGGACTGATACCGTCCTCCCACCCCTCCTCCCTCCCGCACCCCTCCTTCCACCGGTCGCCGCTCCGCTCCCACCTTCCTCCTCTGCCGACATCTACGACCCTTCCGCACCCGCCTCTCCAGCGCATTCAGCTGCACCCCCTCCCCCCTCTCCCTCCTCCTCTCACTCTCCCCCTCAGCTGCAAGGGCAGCAGCCGCAGCAGCAGCAGCAGCACCAGGGCCAGCAGGGGCAGCAGCGGCAGCGGCAGTGGCAGCAGCAGCAGTCGGGGCAGCAGCAGCAGTCGGGGCAGCAGCAGCAGTCGGGGCAGCAGCTGCAGCAGCAGCAGCAGTCGGGGCAGCAGCTGCAGCAGCAGCCGGTGCAGCAGCAGCAGCGACACGCAACTTCCCGCTCCTCCCCTTTCCTCCTCCCTCGCATGCACACCCGCTCCCTGGACAAACTCATTGGAGCCCCTCCCCCCGCCTCCATTCAGCTCCTCGAGGACTCCCATGAGGAGTTCCTCACCATTCGGCGACACACATTTTTCCTTGCCTCCCTCTACCTTGACTTCCTCGGCTTTCCCGTCCTTGGCGCCACCTCCACTCCCACCATCTTCATTCCCACCACCTTCCAAGAGGCCATCACTTGCACTGACACGGACAAATGGATAGCGGCGATCTTCCTGGAGTGTGAGGCATTCATTCGCAACGACTCCTTCGTCGATGTCCCCCTCCCAGCCGACGCCAACCTCATCGAGGGCAAATGGGTCTTTTGGGTGAAGCAGCTGCCGGGTGAGGAGCCAGTCTACAAGGCACGCTACTGCGCCAAGGGTTTCACGCAGACTTGGGCCAAAGATTGCTGGTTCACCTTCGCCCCCACCGCCAAGCCGCCCACCCTTCGCACCCTCCTAGACATTGGTGCGCGGGCCAACATGGAGATCTGCTCCATGGACGTCTCCAACGCGTTCCTACAGGGTGACCTGCACGAGCGCATTTTCCTCCGGCGGCCCCCTGGTTTCCACGCATCCTTTCCTGAAAACACTGTGTGGCAGCTGCGTCGCCCTGTCTACGGTTTGAAACAGGCACCAAGGGAGTGGCATGCAAAGTTGTCTGCCACCTTGGGGTCCCTCGGCTTCTCTGCTTCGCACTCTGACGCCAGCCTCTTCATTCGCTCCTCCCCTCGCCGCTTCTTCATTCTGGTATATGTGGACGACATGATCCTGCTTTCTGACTCCAAGGCTGACATGGAGCAGATGAAGCTGTCGCTGCAGCAGCGTCTCAAATGCAAGGACTTGGGCGACCTCACGCACTACCTGGGCATGGCCATCACACGCAACCGCCCTGCTCGCACTATCACCCTCTCCCAGTCCCACTACATTGGCCAGGTCTTGGAGAAGTTCGAGATGGCGCAGGCCAAGCCCGTGTCCACCCCTCTACCTTTCGGTCACCAACTCGCCCCACCCACCTCTCCCTCCTCCTCCTCTCACCCTTATGCCGAGCTTGTTGGGTCGCTGATGTATGCCATGATGTGCACCCGTCCCGACCTTGCCTACCCCATCAGCGTGCTTGCGCGCTTCGTTGCACCGGCCGCCACACCACCGAGCACTGGCAGGCCGCTAAGCGGGTCCTCCGCTATCTCCGCGGGACCAAGGACCATGTCCTCACCCTTGGCGGCCCCTCCCCTCCTCTCCTCTCGGGCTTCAGCGACTCCTCCTGGGCTGACTCGCAGCCGGACCGCCGCTCCTCTCAGGGCTATGGCTTCACCCTTGGCAGCGGCCTTGTCAGTTGGCGTTCCACGCGTTCTTCTGCCATTGCTCTTTCCTCGTGCGAGGCTGAGCTCTACGCTGGCACCATGGCCGCTCAGGAGTCCCGCTGGCTCTGCTATCTTCTTGCTGAGCTGGGCGCTCCTCAGCGCTGCCCCACCCTCTGGTGTGACAACGCTAGCACCATTCATCTCACCCAGGACCCTGTCTACCACGCCCGCTCCAAGCACATCGAGTTGCGCTATTTCTTCATCCGCGAGCTCGTCCAGCAGGGACTCCTTGCCGTTCGGAAAATTACGGCTGCGGCAAACTTGGCTGACATCTTCACCAAAGCTCTCTCTCGCCCTGCGCACTCTGCCTTGCTCCGCCTCCTTGGCCTTGCTCGCCCAGGCGCCCCCTGATTCAGGGGTTGTTCTCTCCATGTGTTCGCATGCTAAGGGGTTGTGTTAGAATTTATATATTATAGCATGCGAACACTCCTGACTGTACACCAAGAGTGGTGTACAGTTGGGTTGGTTCAGGCTCTAGTTTTGGGTGTATTGCAGGTAGACACCCTAATTGGGGTGAACCCAAATATCCTAGCTTAGACTTGGCTCCAACCTTGTTGGCCAAATGGGGCAACCAACTTTGGTTGGTTGGCCACCACCCCACTAGGGTTGGTTGGATGGTCCTTCCTCCCACTAGCCTACTTGGTCTTGGTGTCTTATGTGCTAGGTTTGGTGTTCTTCTCCAAACTTCTCTCCCTTGTATAACCTTGTGCTCTCTTGAGCTAATATCATCCATTCTTCCTCAAGTTTCTACAGCTTCTAGTTTCTTTCAGCATGAGCTGAGGTGAGGTTGCTGGTGACTTTGGGCGAGCACAGGACTAGACGTGAGCGATGTATAACGCAACTTACCCACACAGCCGGAGAGCTTTTGACAGGGAGCTTTGAAGTGTACAGGACTAAACATGTGCACACACTTTCAAGAAGAACGAGCATAACTCTTTATGCTCCCCCTCTTTTGTCCACACTGCAGGAATCAGAAAAGTATTCTCTGCCCACAGAGGGCGAGCGGGCAGCAGATTTTTACTACTTGGCGCAGAGCGACTGCTACGAGCTGCCCGGAAAGAACAGCAACGCGATGGAGTATGAATCCACTTGCTCTGCCATGAACGTTATGGGGTTCGACCCACGCGAGCAGGTGAGTGACCGTGTAACCACGCTTACCTACACTCCCACTCGCTCTCACAATGGCACTCTAGTGCACTCGCCCTCTCATGTGCTCTGCCATGAACGTCATGGGGTTCGACCCGAGGGAGCAGGTGGGTGGGTATTGGCAGGAATGGACACGCGAACAGGTGGGCGGGTGTAGAAGTATGAATCCACGCGCTCTGCCATGAACGTCATGGGGTTCGACCCAAGCGAGCAGGTGAGCACAAGGGGGTGAGATTTGGAATGACCTGCATGAACAGGTGAGAACTAGGGGTGGGCAGGTGGTACTCAAAACACACGGGGGAGCCAGCGGTGAGTGCAAGAGGGTGAGTTTTGGGCAATGGGCATGGGGTGAGTGCAAGGGGGTGAGTTGTGGGCGATGGGCATGGGGTGTGGGCGATGGGCATGGGGTGTGGGCGATGGGCATGGGGTGTGGGCGATGGGCATGGGGTGAGGGCTTCACCCAGCCGGAGAGCATGGAGGGGCAGGGCAGGTTAGACAGCAGAGCGCACAAAACAGAGAGTAGAGAGCAGAAAGTAGCACCCCTTGGTCATGCTTTTGCCCCACTGACCCATTCCATCATGCCCTCATGCCCCCACTTACTCCCCCACCACCAGGAGGGCATATTCGCAGTGGTGGCAGCCATTATGCATCTGGGAAACGTGGACTTCATGCAGCCAGAGAGCATGGACGGGACAGGGGAGCTGCCCCCTCTGGTGGCAAAGAACGACAAGGCAGAGGCTGCAGTCAAGACCGTGGCTCGCCTGCTAGAGTAGGTGGTGGTTCGCTGTGGTGTATGTGGTAACTAGGGCCGTGCTGTCAGCACCGGTAATTGGACTGGACAGGCGAGCTGTCCCCGATGGTGGCAAAGAAAGACAAGGCAGAGGCCGCAGTTAAGACCGTGGCACGACTCCTCGAGTAGGTGGTACCTGTGGTGTAGGTGTTATCTGGGGAAGGGGTGTGCTGTACTCTGCTGCTGTCAGCAGAGCAGAGGTAGCTCTGCTGGTGACTAAGAACGACAAGGCAGAGGCTGCAGTAAAGACAGTTGCCCTTCTCCTCGACTAGGTGTTGCCTGTGTGGTGTAGGGCGTACCTGTGGTCTTGGTGTTACTAGGGTGGAGGTGGGCTGTGCTGAGCTGCTGTCAGCACAGGAGGGATGGGATGGTGGACAGGGCATTCGAGCTGCCCCCTCTGGGGACCAAGAACACTGACTCGACAAGGCAGAGGCTGCAGTCAAGACACTGACTCGCCTGCTCGAGTAGGTGGAGGGGAGGGCGTGGCTGTGGTGGGGGTGTTACGTGGGTAAGCAATGGGAATTGCTGTGCTTTCAACAGGCACGCAGCCCCTTCTGGTGGCAAAGAACGACAAGGCAGAGCAGAGGCCGATGTAAAGAGAGTGGCGCGTCTCCTCGAGTAGGTGGAGGGGAGGGCGTGGCGTGGCTGTGGTGTAGATAGTGCCTGGAAGAGAATGGGCTGTGCTTCAAGCAGGGCTAGCTTTTATCAGAGCTACTGGCTTTCACTCCTTGTCTTGTCCTCATCGCTCCTCCCCCACCCTTCTTCCCCCCATCCACTCACCCTTCGCCCATCAGGTGCGATGAGGCAGCGCTGTGGGACTCGCTCGTCTCCCAGACGTGCAAGTTTGGCCGGGAGGTGATCAGGAGCCCGCTGGATGACAAGAATACCCTCACACCCCCTGCGTCCTCTTCTCTCCCCCTTCCCCTTCCCCCTATCAGGTGCGAAGAGGCTGTGCTGTGGGACTCCCTTGTTTCCGAGACACGCATGTTCGGCCGGGAGGTGATCAAGAGCCCTCTGGACCCCAAGAAGGCTGCTTCGTTTATTCGAGCTCCTGCCCCCCATTCCCTTGCTCCCTGCCCCCCATTCCCTTGCTCCCTGCCCCCCATTCCCTTGCTCCTGCCCCCCATTCCCTTGCTCCCTGCCCCCCATTCCCTTGCTCCCTGCCCCCTATTCCCTTGCTCCCTGCCCCCCATTCCCTTGCTCCCTGCCCCCCATTCCCTTGCTCCCTGCCCCCCATTCCCTTGCTCCCTGCCCCCCATTCCCTTGCTCCCTGCCCCCCATTCCCTTGCTCCCTGCCCCCCATTCCCTTGCTCCCTGCCCCCCATTCCCTTGCTCCCTGCCCCCCATTCCCTTGCTCCCTGCCCCCCATTCCCTTGCTCCCTGCCCCCCATTCCCTTGCTCCCTTCCCCCAATCAGGTGCGATGAGGTGGCTCTTTGGGACTCCCTCGTCTCTCAGACGCGCAAGTTCGGGCGAGAGGTGATCAGGAGCCCACTGGACCCCAAGAAGGCGGTCGTGAAAAGAGACACCCTTGCCAAGTTCCTCTACTCGCGCCTCTTCGACTGGTGGGTGGCCCCTCCCCTCCCCTCTCCTCCCCTATTCTCCCCTCCCATCGCCGCCTCTTCAACTAGTGAGTTCGCCACCCCAACCCTTTCTCTCATGGACTGGTGGTGGGTGTACCCTCACGAGCTCGTGAGGGCGCAAGTTCGGGCGGGAGGTGATCAGGAGCCCGCTGGACCCCAAGAAGGCGGTTGTGAAGAGAGACACCCTTGCCAAGTTCCTCTACTCGCGCCTCTTCGACTGGTGGGTGCTTCTACCCCCTCTCCCCCTCTCCCGCTCTCCCCCTCTTTCCCCTCCCCCTCTCCCACTCTCCCCCTCTTCCCCCCCCTTTTCCTCTATCAAGAGAGACACCCTCGCCAAGTTCCTCTACTCGCGCCTCTTTGACTGGTGGGTGCCCTCTCCTTTCTCCCCCGTTCTTCTATTGCTGGGCTGCCTCCCCTCTTTCCTCTCTTACCCCTCCCCCAATTCTGCATCTCCCCTCCTGCCATTCTCCTGCTTTTCGTTTACTGGTGTGCCGCCTCTCCACCCCCTCTTTTTCCTCTTCACCACCTGCCACCTTCCTTCTCTAATCCACTGCTGAATGCCTCTTCCACTGTTGAGCGCCCCTTCCACCCTCCCTCCCCTCCTTGACACGTGGAATGATTGAGCAACACTTCCCCCCTTGGTTGGTTCCCACATACAACCTCCCTATTTCCTCCACTTCCTCCGCTCCACGTACTCCCTTCCCCATCACCAGCATCGTGCCGAAGGTCAATCAGAGCATTGGCCAGTACCTTAACTAGCACGCTGGGTGGCCCCGTGTTTGAAGTAGTGTTTTGAGAGTCTCAAAACACTACTTCAAACACGAAGGTCAATCAGAGCAGAGCATTGGTCAGTACCTCAACTATCACGCTGGGTGGCCCCTTTCTTCTCTGTGCTGACAGTGCACAGAGTTTGTCACCATAATAGTCTCTTCTCCTCACTTGCGTGCCCACCCGTTGTTGCTTCCGCTCTCTGTTTATCACCATCCATCCACCAGGATTGTGTGAAAGGTCAATGAGGGCATAGGGCAGGACCCCAACCACCTTTCTTCTCCTCCCTTGCATGCCCACCTGTTGCTGCTTCCGCTCTCTGTCTCGCTGCCACCCTCTCTCTGCCACCCTCTCTCCGCCACTCTCTCTCGGCCATCCATCAGGATTGTGTCAAAGGTCAATCAAGGCATCGGGCAGGACCCCAACCACATATCAGACGGGCCCTGTCTCCTCCTCACTTCCCTTGCCGCCCTTATCTCTCTGGCTCTCTGCCACTCTACCTTTCATCACCAGCATCGTGTTAAAGGTCTATGAGAGCATTGGGCAGGACCCCAACCACATATCAGACGGGCCCACCTTTGTTGCTCTCTCCGTTGACCTTTGCCGCTTTCTGTTCTCCCCACTTCTCTGCCCACCTTTGTTGCTTTCGCTCTCTGTCTGTCCGCCACTCTGCCTTTCACTGCCAGGATCGTGTCCAAGGTCAATGAGGGCATTGGGCAGGACCCCAACCACATATCAGGCGGGCCCACCTTTGTTGCTCTCTCCGTTGACCTTTGCCGCTTTCTGTTCTCCCCACTTCTCTGCCCACCTTTGTTGCTTTCGCTCTCTGTCTGTCCGCCACTCTGCCTTTCACTGCCAGGATCGTGTCCAAGGTCAATGAGAGCATTGGGCAGGACCCCAACCATGCGTCCATCATCGGAGTCCTTGATATTTATGGCTTCGAGCACTCCAATGAGAACACGGGGCAGGACCCCAACCACCTTTCTTCTCCTCACTTGCGTGCCCACCCTTTGCTGTTTCCACTCTATGTCTCTCTGCCACCCTCTCTCTGCCCCCTCCAGGATTGTGTCAAAGGTCAATGAGAGCATAGGGCAGGACCCCAACCATGCGTCCATCATCGGAGTGCTTGATATTTATGGCTTCGAGCACTTTAAAGTCAACAGGTGTGTGTGTGTGTGTGTGTGTGTGTGTATGCGCGCTTGTGTGCGTGTGCATGCGTGTGAGTGTGTGTGTGTGTGTGTGTGTGTATGTGGAGTCGACTCAAAACAATCCACGCGTCCGTCATTGGAGTGTGTGATATCTATGCCTTCGAGCACTTCAAAGTCAACAGGTGCTTGCACTTGCGATCCCATTGCAGGTGTGAGCACTCACGGTTTCTGAAACCTTATGTATGGTCTTACAGCTTTCGTTTGCCACTCTTTGTCTCCCTGCTTTCTTCTGTTTGGTTTCTCCACCTACTCGTCCTCCCCCCTCCTCTCCGCTGTATATCTGCTCTCTCACTCCCCCCCCCTTCTTCCCCACCCGCCTTCCCTTGCTTCTCTCCTCTTTCCCCCACCCATCCAGCTTTGAGCAACTGTGCATCAACCTCACCAACGAAAAGCTGCAGCAGCATTTCAACTCGGTAAGCCACCCTCATGCACATTGCAACTACGTGTAGAAAGTAGATTTCTGAGACGTCTCAAAAATCAACTCGGTAAGCCACCCTCATGCACATTGCAACTTTCAAACGCTCTTGTCTGGGCAATACAGCAGGGGGGTGGGACAAGCTGGGGTACTTCCACGCTCCAACTCAACCTGCTTGGTACTGCGATTCTATTTCTTCATGCTTTTTTTTTATATTCGTCCTCTCCTCTTCTGCTCTGTCCTTTCGCACTACTCAACGCCCTGCCAGCCCTTATCCCTTCCCTCCTCTGCCCACTCACATGTGTTGAAGCAGCAACAGGAGGAGTACGAGGCAGAGGACATAGACTGGTTTGATTCTCCTTCTTTCCCCCACCGCAACCCCCCATTCCCAGAAGAAAGCACCTCAAGCTACCCCTCAACATCCCCCACTATCCCTCAACACCTACCCTCACTCCTTCCCACCGCAGCATGTGCTGAAGCAGCAGCAGGAGTATGAGGCAGAGGGAATAGACTGGTTTGATTCTCCCGCTTTCTCCCACCGCAACCCCCCACTCCTGGAAAAAACACCTCAAGCCACCCCTCAACATCCCCCATTACCCCTCAGCACCTACCCCCACTCCTTCCCACCACAGCATGTGTTGAAGCAGCAGCAGGAGGAGTACGAGGCAGAGGGCATAGACTGGTCTCGGATTGACTTTGTTGACAACCAAGACGTGCTCGAGCTGGTTGAAGGGGTGAGTGAGTGAGTGAGTGAGTGAGCGAGTGAGTGAGTGGGAAGTGAGTGAGTGGAAAGTGGTCTCGCATTGACTTTGTTGACAACCAAGACGTGCTGGAGCTGGTTGAAGGGGTGAGTGAGTGAGGAGTCATCAGCTTCTTGAGGGGCTGAGATTGTATCAAGATGTGTGGGACTCGAAACACGTACGAGGCAGGCAGAGGGCATCGACTGGTCCCGAATCGACTTTGTTGACAACCAAGACGTGCTTGAGCTGGTTGAAGGGGTGAGGAGCCATTGCCTTATTAAGGGGCTGGGGTGGGGTTGTATCAAAATGCGTTGGCTTGAGTCGACTCGAAACACGTACGAGTCAGAGGCCACAGGGCATCGACTGGTCTCGAATCTGAGGCAGAGGCCAGAGGGCATGGAATCTTGTTGACAACCAGGACGTGCTAGAGCTGCGTGTAGAGAGGGTGTCTGGGGATTGGGTGTGGGACTGAGAGTTTTCAAAAACCAACTCTGCGAAATATGAAGCAGAGGGTACCGACTGGTCTCGAATTGACTTTGTGGACAACCAAGACGTGCTCGAGCTGGTTGAAGGGGTGAGTGAGTGAGTGAGTGAGAATGGGATGTCTCTGAGAATTCCCAAGAACCAACTCTGAGAACTCTGAGGCAGAGGGGATCAATTGGTCTCGAATTGACTTTGTTGACAACCAAGACGTGCTCGAGCTGGTTGAAGGGGTGAGTGAGTGGAGGGGGTGTCCGTCTGAGAAGCCTAAAAAACCCGACTAGTAGTACGAGGCAGAGGGCATAGACTGGTCTCGAACTGATTTTGCTGACACCAAGACGTGCTTGAGCAAATTGAAGGGGTGGATGAGGTGAGGGGTGGTTTCTTCTATGTAGTGAAGGTGAGAGACGAATTTCCTGGGGCAGGGAGGAGGAGGAGGAGGGGGGGTAAATTTTCTGGAAGAAATTGAGATCATCTGTTTCTTTTTAGCACGTTTGATGATGCATCATCTGCTTTGGATTCCTCTGTTTCGCTTGCAGCAACAGCTGGGGCGGGCTGGCTTTGCTTATGTGCATGTGATGTGATGCTTCTTGCTCTCTCTGGTGCTTGTTCGTCGAACCTTTTCATGCATGTATGTGTGCATGTGTGCATTCGTGCACGTGTGCATGTGCCCATGTGCGCATGCGTGTCTGTGTCCATGCATGTGCATGTGTGTGTGTGTGCCCATGTACGCATGCGTGTCTGTGTCCATGCATGTGTGCATGTGTGTGTGTGTGCCCATGTGCGCATGCGTGTCTGTGTCCATGCATGTGTGCATGTGTGTGTGTGTGCCCATGTGCGCATGCGTGTCTGTGTCCATGCATGTGTGCATGTGTGTGTGTGTGCCCATGTGCGCATGCGTGTCTGTGTCCATACATGTGTGCATGTGTGTGTGTGTGCCCATGTGCGCATGCGTGTCTGTGTCCATGCATGTGTGCATGTGTGTGTGTGTGCCCATGTGCGCATGCGTGTCTGTGTCCATGCATGTGTGCATGTGTGTGTGTGTGCCCATGTGCGCATGCGTGTCTGTGTCCATGCATGTGTGCATGTGTGTGTGTGTGCCCATGTGCCCCTGTGCCCCTGTACCCCTGTACCCCTGTGCCCCTGTGCCCCTGTGCCCCTGTACCCCTGTGCCCCTGTGCCCCTGTGCCCCTGTACCCCTGTGCCCCTGTGCCCCTGTACCCCTGTGCCCCTGTACCCCTGTACCCCTGTGCCCCTGTGCCCCTGTACCCCTGTGCCCCTGTGCCCCTGTACCCCTGTGCCCCTGTACCCCTGTACCCCTGTGCCCCTGTGCCCCTGTACCCCTGTACCCCTGTGCCCCTGTGCCCCTGTACCCCTGTGCCCCTGTGCCCCTGTACCCCTGTGCCCCTGTGCCCCTGTACCCCTGTGCCCCTGTGCCCCTGTACCCCTGTGCCCCTGTGCCCCTGTACCCCTGTACCCCTGTGCCCCTGTGCCCCTGTACCCCTGTGCCCCTGTACCCCTGTGCCCCTGTGCCCCTGTGCCCCTGTACCCCTGTGCCCCTGTGCCCCTGTACCCCTGTGCCCCTGTGCCCCTGTACCCCTGTACCCCTGTGCCCCTGTGCCCCTGTACCCCTGTGCCCCTGTACCCCTGTGCCCCTGTGCCCCTGTGCCCCTGTACCCCTGTACCCCTGTGCCCCTGTGCCCCTGTGCCCCTGTACCCCTGTACCCCTGTGCCCCTGTGCCCCTGTACCCCTGTGCCCCTGTGCCCCTGTGCCCCTGTACCCCTGTGCCCCTGTACCCCTGTACCCCTGTGCCCCTGTGCCCCTGTACCCCTGTGCCCCTGTGCCCCTGTACCCCTGTGCCCCTGTGCCCCTGTACCCCTGTACCCCTGTGCCCCTGTGCCCCTGTGCCCCTGTACCCCTGTGCCCCTGTGCCCCTGTGCCCCTGTACCCCTGGTACCCCTGTGCCCCTGTGCCCCTGTGCCCCTGTACCCCTGTGCCCCTGTGCCCCTGTGCCCCTGTACCCCTGTGCCCCTGTGCCCCTGTACCCCTGTGCCCCTGTACCCCTGTACCCCTGTGCCCCTGTGCCCCTGTACCCCTGTACCCCTGTGCCCCTGTGCCCCTGTACCCCTGTGCCCCTGTGCCCCTGTACCCCTGTGCCCCTGTGCCCCTGTACCCCTGTGCCCCTGTGCCCCTGTACCCCTGTACCCCTGTGCCCCTGTACCCCTGTACCCCTGTGCCCCTGTGCCCCTGTACCCCTGTGCCCCTGTACCCCTGTGCCCCTGTGCCCCTGTGCCCCTGTACCCCTGTGCCCCTGTGCCCCTGTACCCCTGTGCCCCTGTGCCCCTGTACCCCTGTACCCCTGTGCCCCTGTGCCCCTGTACCCCTGTGCCCCTGTACCCCTGTGCCCCTGTGCCCCTGTGCCCTGTACCCCTGTACCCCTGTGCCCCTGTGCCCCTGTACCCCTGTGCCCCTGTGCCCCTGTGCCCCTGTACCCCTGTGCCCCTGTGCCCCTGTACCCCTGTGCCCCTGTGCCCCTGTACCCCTGTGCCCCTGTGCCCCTGTACCCCTGTGCCCCTGTGCCCTGTACCCCTGTGCCCCTGTACCCCTGTGCCCCTGTACCCCTGTACCCCTGTACCCCTGTGCCCCTGTACCCCTGTGCCCCTGTACCCCTGTGCCCCTGTGCCCCTGTGCCCCTGTACCCCTGTACCCCTGTGCCCCTGTGCCCCTGTGCCCCTGTACCCCTGTGCCCCTGTGCCCCTGTGCCCCTGTACCCCTGTGCCCCTGTGCCCCTGTACCCCTGTACCCCTGTGCCCCTGTAGCCCCTGTACCCCTGTGCCCCTGTGCCCCTGTACCCCTGTGCCCCTGTGCCCCTGTACCCCTGTGCCCCTGTACCCCTGTACCCCTGTGCCCCTGTGCCCCTGTACCCCTGTACCCCTGTGCCCCTGTGCCCCTGTACCCCTGTGCCCCTGTGCCCCTGTGCCCCTGTACCCCTGTGCCCCTGTGCCCCTGTACCCCTGTGCCCCTGTGCCCCTGTACCCCTGTGCCCCTGTGCCCCTGTACCCCTGTACCCCTGTGCCCCTGTGCCCCTGTACCCCTGTGCCCCTGTACCCCTGTGCCCCTGTGCCCCTGTGCCCCTGTACCCCTGTACCCCTGTGCCCCTGTGCCCCTGTGCCCCTGTACCCCTGTGCCCCTGTGCCCCTGTGCCCCTGTACCCCTGTGCCCCTGTGCCCCTGTACCCCTGTGCCCCTGTGCCCCTGTACCCCTGTGCCCCTGTGCCCCTGTACCCCTGTGCCCCTGTACCCCTGTGCCCCTGTGCCCCTGTGCCCCTGTGCCCCTGTGCCCCTGTACCCCTGTGCCCCTGTGCCCCTGTACCCCTGTGCCCCTGTGCCCCTGTACCCCTGTGCCCCTGTACCCCTGTGCCCCTGTGCCCCTGTGCCCCTGTGCCCCTGTGCCCCTGTACCCCTGTGCCCTGTGCCCCTGTACCCCTGTGCCCCTGTGCCCCTGTACCCCTGTGCCCCTGTGCCCCTGTACCCCTGTGCCCCTGTGCCCCTGTACCCCTGTACCCCTGTGCCCCTGTACCCCTGTACCCCTGTGCCCCTGTACCCCTGTACCCCTGTGCCCCTGTGCCCCTGTACCCCTGTGCCCCTGTGCCCCTGTGCCCCTGTGCCCCTGTACCCCTGTGCCCCTGTGCCCCTGTGCCCCTGTACCCCTGTGCCCCTGTGCCCCTGTACCCCTGTGCCCCTGTGCCCCTGTACCCCTGTGCCCCTGTGCCCCTGTACCCCTGTGCCCCTGTGCCCCTGTACCCCTGTGCCCCTGTGCCCCTGTACCCCTGTGCCCCTGTGCCCCTGTGCCCCTGTACCCCTGTGCCCCTGTGCCCCCTGTACCCCTGTGCCCCTGTGCCCCTGTACCCCTGTGCCCCTGTGCCCCTGTACCCCTGTGCCCCTGTACCCCTGTACCCCTGTGCCCCTGTGCCCCTGTACCCCTGTACCCCTGTGCCCCTGTGCCCCTGTACCCCTGTGCCCCTGTGCCCCTGTACCCCTGTGCCCCTGTGCCCCTGTACCCCTGTGCCCCTGTACCCCTGTGCCCCTGTGCCCCTGTGCCCCTGTGCCCCTGTGCCCCTGTACCCCTGTGCCCCTGTGCCCCTGTACCCCTGTGCCCCTGTGCCCCTGTACCCCTGTGCCCCTGTGCCCCTGTACCCCTGTACCCCTGTGCCCCTGTGCCCCTGTACCCCTGTGCCCCTGTACCCCTGTGCCCCTGTGCCCCTGTGCCCCTGTACCCCTGTACCCCTGTGCCCCTGTGCCCCTGTGCCCCTGTACCCCTGTGCCCCTGTGCCCCTGTGCCCCTGTACCCCTGTGCCCCTGTGCCCCTGTACCCCTGTGCCCCTGTGCCCCTGTACCCCTGTGCCCCTGTGCCCCTGTACCCCTGTGCCCCTGTACCCCTGTGCCCCTGTACCCCTGTACCCCTGTGCCCCTGTGCCCCTGTACCCCTGTGCCCCTGTACCCCTGTGCCCCTGTGCCCCTGTGCCCCTGTACCCCTGTACCCCTGTGCCCCTGTGCCCCTGTGCCCCTGTACCCCTGTGCCCCTGTGCCCCTGTGCCCCTGTACCCCTGTGCCCCTGTGCCCCTGTACCCCTGTGCCCCTGTGCCCCTGTACCCCTGTGCCCCTGTGCCCCTGTACCCCTGTGCCCCTGTGCCCCTGTGCCCCTGTACCCCTGTGCCCCTGTACCCCTGTACCCCTGTGCCCCTGTGCCCCTGTACCCCTGTGCCCCTGTGCCCCTGTACCCCTGTGCCCCTGTACCCCTGTACCCCTGTGCCCCTGTGCCCCTGTACCCTGTGCCCCTGTGCCCCTGTACCCCTGTGCCCCTGTGCCCCTGTACCCCTGTGCCCCTGTGCCCCTGTACCCCTGTGCCCCTGTGCCCCTGTGCCCCTGTACCCCTGTGCCCCTGTGCCCCTGTACCCCTGTGCCCCTGTGCCCCTGTACCCCTGTGCCCCTGTGCCCCTGTGCCCCTGTACCCCTGTGCCCCTGTACCCCTGTACCCCTGTGCCCCTGTGCCCCTGTACCCCTGTGCCCCTGTGCCCCTGTACCCCTGTGCCCCTGTACCCCTGTACCCCTGTGCCCCTGTGCCCCTGTACCCCTGTGCCCCTGTGCCCCTGTACCCCTGTGCCCCTGTGCCCCTGTACCCCTGTGCCCCTGTGCCCCTGTACCCCTGTGCCCCTGTACCCCTGTGCCCCTGTACCCCTGTGCCCCTGTGCCCCTGTACCCCTGTACCCCTGTGCCCCTGTGCCCCTGTACCCCTGTGCCCCTGTGCCCCTGTACCCCTGTGCCCCTGTGCCCCTGTGCCCCTGTACCCCTGTGCCCCTGTGCCCCTGTGCCCCTGTACCCCTGTGCCCCTGTGCCCCTGTGCCCCTCTGCACACGTGATTGCAGAATCAAGGTATTCTTGCACTCCTGGACTCTGCCTGGTACGTACCATACAAGGCATTTTGTGCACATACGCAGTGATAGCTTTCGAAAACCCCCTACCTACTGGTTTCTTGTGTATGTGCTCTGAACATTCGATGAACCTCATCAAACCCATGATCTCGTTCACCCGTCCTTCTGTGTGTTTGATCCTTTGCACGAGAACGATACTTCTAGCCAGCTTGTCACCCTGAGCCCTCCTGCTCTCTTGCCTCTTCTCCCAACCGCCCCTGCCGCACCCTCCCTCCTTCCCCCCCCCCACCAGCAAGCTAGACAGCTCCACGCTCGAGACCTTCTGCCAGACGCTCTACAGCACGCTGGGCAAGCACAAGCGCTTCTCCAAACCTCCAAACCACTTTGCCATTCCTTCTCTGCTGTTCTTTTGTCTCCTCTCCCCAACCAACCCTTTTTCCTCCCTCCCCCCCCACCAGCAAGCTAGACAGCTCCACGCTCGAGACCTTCTGTCAGACGCTGTACAGCACGCTGGGCAAGCATAAGCGGCCAAACCAGCCTCCCTGTTGCTCTTCTCCTCTCCTTGCTTGTCTCAACCCCCACTCTCCCCTCCCCCCACCAGCAAGCTAGACAGCTCCACGCCTGAGACCTTCTGTCAGACGCTCTACAGCACGCTGGGCAAGCACAAGCGCTTCTCCAAGTCCAAGATGTCGCGCTCTGACTTCAGTGTCAAGCACTATGCCGGCAAGGTGAGGGCGGGTGAGAGGAAGGGGTCTGCTGTTATGTGCATGCGATTGGGCTAGCTGGGGAAGTGCGGGTGTGGGTGTGGTGTGGGTGGGGGGTTTGAGATGTTTCAAGCACAAGCGCTTCTCCAAGTCCAAGATGTCGCGTTCTGACCTCAGTGTCAAGCACTATGCCGGCAAGGTGAGGGCGGGGGCGCCTTGACTGCACTGCGGGACAAAAGGGGTAATTGTATAAGATGCCTGAAGCACAAGCGCTTCTCCAAGTCCAAGATGTCGCGAGCTTACTTCAGCGTCAAGCACTACGCTGGCAAGGTGGCGGGAAGGAGTTGGGGTGCTCAGATTGTGGTGGGGGGAATTAGAAGCGAGTGCTGTGGGAGGGAGGGAGGGATGGGGCAGGGCAGGGCAGGTGGGTGGGTAGGTGGACCGCCATGTGAACGGGTTAGATGGAAGGAGGAGTGATGAGAGATGGCAGGATGAGTCAAGAGAGATGGCTGTAGCACAGGCCACTTTCCAGGGCCAAGTTGTTGCAAGCCGACTACAGTGTGAAGCACTACGCTGGCAAGGTGGGGTGTGGGGAGGAATCTGAGGGGGTTAGTGTTACAATTGAACCATTGAGTTGATTAGGAATCATACGGGCTTACATAGTTGAAGCTAGGGGAGGGGGGGTTGGTTGGGTACCTAGTCATCATTATTGGCCCCCCACCAATAAGTTAGGTTGGAGAATTATTGGGGGGTCCCAATAATGTTGGCCAAAAAGTGGGCCAACATTATTGGGGGGGCCCAATAATCTCTCAACTCAACCTTGGGGGCCAATAATTGGACCAAGGTTGGGTTCCAACCCCCAACTAGGGTTAACCCTAGTTGTGCACCCAAACATAGTTTGGGTGCCTATCTCTGTCCTAGGGTTTATAGGATCAATGCAGGATACAGAAGAGTAGTATAATCTAACACAACCCCTTAGCCTGCATAGATCTATAAACCTGGATGAGATAAGACAGCAACCCCTGAATCAGTCACCATGGGGAGCAAGGCCCAGGAGCGGCAAAATTGCCGAGTGAGTAGAGCGGTCGAGGGCCTTAGTGAATATGTCGGCGGGGTTGGAGGAAGAGTCGATCTTGCGCACGGTAATGTGGTCATCCTGGACAAGATCACGGACGAAGTAGTGTCGGAGCATGAGGAGTTGCGGGCCCGCTCCCACTCTGAACCGTGTGTGCCGTGCTCTTTGCTCTCTGCTCGTTGCCCTTTCTCCCCCTCCTCCGCCTTTCATCCTCACAGGTGAAGTACCAGGCAGAAGAGTTTCTGGTGAAGAATCTCGACGCCCTGGTCCCAGAGCAGGAGGAGCTGCTGGCGCGCTCCCACTTTGAAGCCCCGCATGCATGGACCGTTGTGTTTTCTCCCCTTCTTTCTCCAATACATCCCACTGCAGGTGAAGTACCAGGCAGAAGAGTTTCTGGTGAAGAACCTTGACGCGTTGGTGCCAGAGCATGAGGAGCTGCTGGCTCGCTCCCACTCTGACTTTGTGCGAACGCTCTTCCCACCCCCGGAAACTGGCAAGGCGGTGAAGGCTGTCTCCCTGGGAAAGAGATTCAAGGTGAGGGGCTTGGGAGGGAAGGAAAGGGGTTATGTGAATTGAGGGGGCTGGTCACGTGTGTTGAAAGGGGTGTATTTTGAGGCGCCTCAAAATACACCTCACTTCACTGCACCTGGTTACGTGTGTTGAAAGGGGCATGAGGTCACGTGTGTTGAAAGGGGCATGAGGTCACGTGTGTTGAAAGGGGCATGAGGCTTAGTTGGAGGCTTATGTGAAACGCGTATACTCCAACTAAGGCATGAGGTTACGTGGATCGAGGGGGGATGGGTAAGGTGGAGTGTGAAGGAATGGGGGCGGGGAGAGAAGGGGAGCACGGGAAGCTGCTGACAACGTCATCATTGTTGCTCCCAATCAATGCAAGCAACACCTCCACTCTCCAATCGCTCATCTCCTCAACCACTCATCCTTCCTCCTTCTCAACAACCTCCTCCTCCATCCCCCAGGAGCAACTGGGCGAGTTGATGCGCATGCCCCACTTCGTGCTGTGTGTGAAGCCCAACAAGGACCTCAAGCCATCCCTGCTATCCCTCCTCAACACCACCCCGTCCTCCTTCCCAGGAGCAACTGGGCGAGTTGATGCCCACGCTGAATGCAACGAAACCGCACTACGTGCGGTGCGTCAAGCCCAACAAGGACCTCAACCCTTCCCAAGCAACACAAACCCTCCTGACCCTCCTCCACCTCCCACCCCCAGGAGCAACTGGGCGAGTTGATGTGCATGCTCAATGCAACTGAGCCACACTAAAGCCACACAGGCAACTTTTCCCCTTCTTCCACCCACCCCACCCCCTCCCCACCCTTGGCCCTCTCCGCTCCCCAAACCCTCCTCCCACCCTCTCAGGAGCAACTGGGCGAGTTGATGCGCACGCTGAATGCAACAGAGCCGCACTACGTGCGGTGTGTGAAGCCCAACAAGGACCTCAAGCCACAAAAGTTCTCCAACACACTCGTGGTGGAGCAATTGCGATCAGGGGTGAGTGGGGCAGCATTGCGACACTGCCCAGCCGTTGTCGCTTGGTAATCTCGAATCCTTCCGTGCTCCTTTAGTTTGCGTGATGCAAGCCACTTTTGAGGCGTCTCAAAAGTCATGAAACGCAGGTACACCCGCCCGCTTGCAAACGTGTAGCAGTGCTGGCTGGTATTAAGCCCTGGGACATGCAGAACGTGATGCAAACCACCCCTTGCTTGCAAACCACCCCTTGCTTGCAAACCACCCCTTGCTTGCAAACCACCCCTTGCTTGCATGCAAACCACCCCTTGCTTGCAAACCACCCCTTGCTTGCAAACCACCCCTTGCTTGCAAACCACCCCTTGCTTGCAAACCACCCCTTGCTTGCAAACCACCCCTTGCTTGCAAACCACCCCTTGCTTGCAAACCACCCCTTTCTTGCAAACCACCCCTTTCTTGCAAACCACCCCTTGCTTGCAAACCACCCCTTGCTTGCAAACCACCCCTTGCTTGCAAACCACCCCTTGCTTGCACCTCTGCTGTGCCAGAGGCAGTGCGCCTGTGCTCCAGGGGCTACCCCTTAGCTACCACGCACTCGCCTTTCCTTGTCCCCCCAGTCTCCCTCCGCCCCTGTGCCTCCTTCTCCTCCCCCCTCCTCGCAGGGTGTGCTAGAGGCAGTGCGCCTGTGCTCTACAGGTTACCCGGCTCGGCGCACGTTTGAAGACTTTGAGGCGCGGTTCAGCCTGCTGCTGCCGAGCCCAGACAGGAAGAGGTGATTTCTTTTATGTGTCAAGAGGTGATGATTGTGTCACGTCTCCAAAAGGACTTTGACGCGCGGTTCAGCCCGCTGCTGCCAAGCCCAGACAGAAAGATGTGATTTGATTTCTTATTCGTCTGAAGAGGTGATTTTTGAGACACCTCGAAAACGAGTTTGTAGCACGGTGCTGCTGCTGAGCCAAGAGAGTTGACTTTTGAGTCGACTCAAAGGTTCAGCCCGCTGCTGCTGAGCCAAGTTGACTTTTGAGTCGACTCAAAGGTTCAGCCCGCTGCTGCTGAGCCAAGTTGACTTTTGAGTCGACTCAAAGGTTCAGCCCGCTGCTGCTGAGCCAAGTTGACTTTTGAGTCGACTCAAAGGTTCAGCCTGCTGCTGCTGAGCCAAGTTGACTTTTGAGTCGACTCAAAGGTTCAGCCCGCTGCTGCTGAGCCAAGTTGACTTTTGAGTCGACTCAAAGGTTCAGCCCGCTGCTGCTGAGCCAAGAGAGTTGACTTTTGAGTCGACTCAAAGGTTCAGCCCGCTGCTGCTGAGCCAAGTTGACTTTTGAGTCGACTCAAAGGTTCAGCCCGCTGCTGCTGAGCCAAGTTGACTTTTGAGTCGACTCAAAGGTTCAGCCCGCTGCTGCTGAGCCAAGTTGACTTTTGAGTCGACTCAAAGGTTCAGCCCGCTGCTGCTGAGCCAAGTTGACTTTTGAGTCGACTCAAAGGTTCAGCCCGCTGCTGCTGAGCCAAGTTGACTTTTGAGTCGACTCAAAGGTTCAGCCTGCTGCTGCTGAGCCAAGTTGACTTTTGAGTCGACTCAAAGGTTCAGCCCACTGCTGCTGAGCCAAGACAGAACGAGGTGAGCAAGATGTAGACACCGCTTTCTGTTGACTTTTGAGTCGACTCAAAGGTTCAGCCCGCTGCTGCTGAGCCAAGACAGAACGAGGTGAGCAAGATGTAGACACCGCTGTCTGTTGACTTTTGAGTCAACTCAAAGGTTCAGCCCGCTGCTGCTGAGCCAAGACAGAACGAGGTGAGCAAGATGTAGACACCACTTTCTGTTGACTTTTGAGTCGACTCAAAGGTTCAGCCCGCTGCTGCTGAGCCAAGACAGAACGAGGTGAGCAAGATGTAGACACCGCTGTCTGTTGACTTTTGAGTCGACTCAAAGGTTCAGCCCGCTGCTGCTGAGCCAAGACAGAACGAGGTGAGCAAGATGTAGACACCGCTGTCTGTTGACTTTTGAGTCGACTCAAAGGTTCAGCCCGCTGCTGCTGAACCAAGACAGAACGAGGTGAGCAAGATGTAGACACCGCTGTCTGTTGCTGGTGCCTCCTGTTTCTTGTGACGAAAATACGTTTGTGTGAATGTGAAGAGAATACGTTCAGTGTGCACACTAATCGTGTAATGCGACGAAGATACGTTGAGTGCAACCTAATCCACCATGCATGCGACCGCCCCTCTCGCTATCCCATCATCCCACCTTCCCACCTTCTCACCATCCTCCATCCCACCATACCTTCTCCCTCCATCGCACCTTCTCACCATCCTCCATCCCACCATACCTTCTCCCTCCATCGCACCTTCTCACCATCCTCCATCCCACCATACCTTCTCCCTCCATCGTACCACCTGACAGGCTAGCCGGGCAACATCAGGAGATTATCAGTGCAGTCATGGCGCAGGCAGAACTGCAGGACTACCAGGTGAATTTCCAGGTGGTGTCAGGTGGATTCAACATTGCCAGGTGAGCTGGTGTGACGTGACATCAGGTGACATCAATGTCTGATTGTGGTAAACCTCGTTTTCCAAGGTGCTAATGAGTCGTGTTTTGAGTCGACTCAAAACAAGGTGCTAATGAGTCGTGTTTTGAGTCGACTCAAAACAAGGTGCTAATGAATGATGGGGGCAGCTGGTCTCGATCGAGTTTATCCCTCCTCTCAAACTGTCCTCTGTATTGATTCAGGCAGCAGGGTACAAACAAGCAGATTTATCCGACTCGAGATGATCCCTCCTCTCACTCTCCCACTCCCCGCTCATTCTTTCCCTGGTTCCCTCCCTCGTCCATGCCCCATCCCCTTCTCAGATCGGCAAGACAAAGGTGATGCTCGTATCGTACCCATGCCTTCTCCTACTCCCTCCTCTCCCTCCCTCCTCTCTCACCCCTCGTTCGTCATCCTTCCCCCCAGAGTGGCAAGACAAAGGTGTTTATGAAGGGCGTGCAGCTGGTGACGCTTGAGTCTCTCCGTCTTGACCGCATGAACCTCGCTGCCACCAAGATCCAGAGAGCCGTGCGGCGATTCCTGTGGAAGCAGGAGCGCAAGCGGGCTGCGATTGTCATTCAGAAGCACTGGAAAGGTACGGTGCGGTGCAGTGTGGTTTGGTGCGTTGTGGCACGGTGCAGTGTGGTGTGGTGTGGTGTGGTGTGGCAAACTCCTGTCTGCAAATTTTCAGGCTCCTAAAAAAACTTAACTGTGTGGCATGAACCTCGCTGCCACCATGATCCAGAGAGCCGTACGGCTATTCCTCTGGAAGCAGGAGCGTAAACGGGCTGCTGGTGTCATTCAGAAGCACTGGAAAGGTGCGTTATGGTGTGGTGTGGTGTGGTCCAGTGTGGTGCAGTGCGGTGTGGTGGTGTACAGCGTTCTCTCCCTCTGTTGTGGTTATTTCTCTACTGGGTGGGTCGTCTCAGCGCTTCCTCGCTTCGCCTCGACCGCATGAACCTCGCTGCCTCCAAGATTCAGAGGGCCGTGCGGCTCTTTCTCTGGAAGCAGGAGCGCAAGCGGGCTGCTATTGTCATTCAAAAGCACTGGAGAGGTGCGGTGCGGTGCAGTGTGGTGTGGCGTGGTGTCTTGTCTGTTCTTTGATTGCTTATTGTTCGAAATATTCTTTCTTTGGAAGCAAGAGCGCATGTGAGCGGCCACTCACATCCACAAATGCTGAAGAGGTGCGGTGAGTTGCAGTGCAGTGCGGTGCGGAGTGGTATAATGCATGCAAGGCGGTTCAGTGTCTGGCATGCTTGCTCCTTCTGTTCAAGAGTTTTTCTGCTCTGAAAGGAGCTTCAGCCATGGCTGCGTGTGTTTTTTGAGAATTCTAAAAAAACACACGCTGTTCAAGAGTTTTTCTGCTCTGAAAGGAGCTTCAGCCATGGCTGAAGCTGCTGCTGCTTGATACCATGGCTGAAGCTGCTGCTTGTGACAACATAGCCCATATTGTTGTGGCTGTTTTAGGGTGTCTAGTTCATATGATGCTAAGATTAAGAGTAAACCTAAGTAGGTAGGATTTGAATAAATTGTTAAAGTAGGTAGGGTCTTGAGAAGGCATGATGGGTTTTTTAAGAGGTCGTCTTACCATGCATAGCAGTTGAGTCAGGAATGTGTACAAGTGGAAAGATCCGTTCCACCCACTCGCAGTTGCCAAGTGGCATCTCCTATGCCAAGCGGCAGCCATTATGATTCAGAAGCATGTGCTGCGCTTCCTGATGGAGAAGCGCTTCTGGGAGCTCAAGTGAACTTAGCAGCCTGATGCTGCAGCTGTCACTCACTCTCTCACGCTGTACTGTACTGCATGCTTCTTCCTTCACCCCATGCCCTTCCCTCTCCCCTACTTGTTCCTCTTTACCCATGCCACCCCCCACTCGCAGCCTACCGGGCTAGGAAGCTATTGAGGGAGTTGAGGGAGGACGCAGCAGCCCTTGTCATTCAGAAGCACGTGCGGCGATTCCTAATGGAGAAGCGCTTCTGGGAGCTCAAGTTTGCAGCGATTGTGATTCAGAAGAACGTGCGCATGCAGCAGGCCAGAAAACGATACATCCTGCTCAGGAGGACGCTGGCTACCATTGTCATTCAGGTGTGTGGGAAGGTTCAAAGCGGTGACAGTGTTTCAGGGCTGATCTGTCTAAGTGCTTCCAAGAGTGAGTGTGGTTCAGAAGAACGCGATCATGCAGCAGGCAGGAAAGCGGTACATCCTGCTCAGGAGGACATCTGGCCACCTTCGTCATTCAGGTGTGTGGGAAGGTTCAATGCGGTGACAGTGTCTCGGGCATGGTGTGTCTGGAGTTTCTTAAGCGCGACTCTGATTCAGAAGAGGGTGCGCTACTCGAGCGTGCATGCAGCAGGAATGGACGTGGTATATTCTCCCCCAACCCCAAACCACCTTTCCCACCCAAACCCCTCCCCCACACTCATCTGCAGCGCTACTTGGGAGGGTACAGGGTGCGCAAGCTGTGGGGCACCATGCAGCAGTGCTTGCAGGTGAACGCTATTTAAACCCACCCTTCTTCTAACCCCGTTTTCCTCTTCTCCACCCACCCATCCCCCATCCTTTCAACGTAGGCAGCGCTGCTGGGGGGTGCACAGGGTGCGCAAGCTGTGGAGCGCCATGCAGCGGTGCCTGCAGGTGAAGGTGAAGTGGTCACCTCATCCCTTGTCCCCGTTGAACCCCGCACCCTTCCCCCTCCCCCACCTCCCACCTGCAGCGCTACTGGCGGGGATGCAGGGTGAGCAAGCTGCTGGGGGCCATGAGGCGGTGCCTGCAGGTGAAGGTGAAGTGGTCACCTCATCCCTTCTCCCCATTCCCCTCGCTCCCCTCAATCGCCTCCTGATCCTCTCTCACCTACAGCGCTACTGGCGGGGGCATAGGGTGCGCAAGCCGTGGGGTGCCATGAGGCGGTGCCTGCAAGTGAAGGTGGCTCGTATGAGACTGAAGAAGATGAAGGAGGTGAGCGGTGGAGGGAATGAGGGGAGGTTGCTAGTGTTAGAGCCTTGGTGGGATGGGAAAAGAGGTGGTGCATGCAAGTGAAGGTGGTTCGTATGAGACTGAAGAAGATGAAAGAAGGAGGTGCGTTTTGCAAGGAGTAAGATGCGATGAAACATTGCAATCTTATTCCATTTGGCAATCTTATTCCATTTGGCAATCTTATTCCATTTGGCAATCTTATTCCATTTGGCAGCACAGCTGGCAGCGCATCCTCCCCTCCCCTGCCCCCTGCAGGCAGCACAGCTGGCAGCGCTGCTTTGCTTGCTCTGTCCCTTCCTTTCCCTAACCCCTTTCCTCTCACTGCCTCTGCTTTCGTCCCACCTCCTGCTCATCCTCCTCCCTTTTCCATTTTGTCCCTTCTGTTGTCCTAGCTCTTTTCTTGTCGCTCGAAAACCTCCTCCTCCTCTCCTCCTCCTCCTCCTCCTCCTCCTCCTCCTCCTCCTCCTCCTCCTCCTCCTCCTCCTCCTCCTCCTCCTCCTCCTCCTCCTCCCTTCTCCTCTTTTTCAGCCCTACTCCATTTCTTGATCTTGCCTCCTCTCCTCTGCCACACCTGCAGGCTGCACAGCGGGCGGCACTGCTTGCTCAGCCGCGCACCAAGGTGGAAGCTTCCATGGACGAGCTGCGCTTCACTGTGCTGCACTGCACCTCCTCGAGCCTTCTTCCCCCAACTCCGTATTCTCCCATCCGGTTGCCTCCCCACTCCTGCCTCACCTGCAGGCGGCACAGCGGGCGGCACTGCTTGCTACCCCGCGCACCAAGGTGGAAGCTTCCATGGACGAGCTGCGCATCGCTATGCTGCGTGGCCTCAAGGTATGCTGGTGGTTGGCAGTGCAGAGGGCTGGACAAGAATGTCTTGTCCCTCTGCCCCTCTGCCCGCGCACCAACCAAGGTGGAAGCTTCCATGGACTGGACGAGCTGCGCATCGCTATGCTGCGTGGCCTCAAGGTGGGTTCATTGCTAGCAGTGTGGAGAAGCAGGGTGTGCGTTGGGTGTATTGGAGTGAGGAATGAGTTTTGAGGCGCCTCAAAAGCAGTGTGGAGAAGCAGGGTGTGAGTTGGGTTGGGTGTGTTGAAGTGAGAATTGAGGCAGCCATGAATAGTGAAGGAGTTGAAGAAGCTGCTTCTGAGTCGACTCAAAAGCGGAGTTGAAAAAGTTGCACTACAAAGTCATCGAGCTGGTTGGTTCTAAACCCCAACTCAACCTAGGGTGTGGTAAGTCTAGGAACAAGCTCCAAAATGAACCTGAAATGAAACGAAGTCCTAAACTGGCCAAAAATAATATTTAAAGGCCAGAACAAAATACAGAGCAAAGGCCAGCCATCCTACTCCAACAGGGTGTGTGTTGGTGTGCTGCACCGCATCAATGTGCGTCGCCTGGGGGGGGCTACGTGAAAGAAGAGCGTTTTTGAGACGTCTAAAAAAGCCTACTCCAACAGGGTGTGTGTTGGTGTGCTGCGCCGCACGCATCAATGTGCACTGCTCGGCTGGCTGGACTTCTAGGTTGTCAGGGCGCACCTGGCTGGACTTCTAGGCTGTCAGGGCGCACCTGGGTGTGTTGGTGTGTTGGTATGCTGCGCTTCACTATGCTGCGCTTCACTATGCTGCGCTTCACTATGCTGCGCTTCACTATGCTGCGCTTCACTATGCTGCGCTTCACTATGCTGCGCTTCACTATGCTGCGCTTCACTATGCTGCGCTTCACTATGCTGCGCTTCACTATGCTGCGCTTCACTATGCTGCGCTTCACTATGCTGCGCTTCACTATGCTGCGCTTCACTATGCTGCGCTTCACTATGCTGCGCCGCATCAAGGTGCGTCTCCTGGGGGGGCTGCACTGCCCTCTCAAATCCAATCGTGGCCTCTCCCTTTCCTTCCCCCCTTCCTCCCCACCCTCCCTCCCCAGCAACGCGAGGAGAAGAAGCGGCATGAGGCAGAGGAGTCAGTGAAGCGCCTCACCCACGAGATGGCAACACTCAACCAGGAGATCTCTCACCCTCTCCTTCACCTGCCCCTCGTCGTACCCTCTTCCTTTCCCCAACACACAGCAACGCGAGGAGAAGAAGCGGCATGAGGCAGAGGAGTCAGTGAAGCGCCTCATCCACGAGATGGCAACACTCAACCAGGAACTCTCCTCTTCCAATTCTGTCCTTCCAATCCCCCTCCTGCCCCTTCCATTCCCTCCTTCCACACAGCAACGCGAGGAGAAGAAGCGGCATGAGGCAGAGGAGTCAGTCAAGCGCCTCATCCACGAGATGGCAACCTTAAACCACGAGATCTCTCAGCTAAAAGCCGCTCTTAACAAAGAGAAGCACCGGGCAGAGAAAGCCGAGGAGCTCCTGAGACTCGTCCCCCGCAGCGTTTTACAGCAGACTGTCGCACACCAGGGCTTCCCCCGTGCCCTTTCCCGGACTGGAAGTGTTTCCTCTTATAGCAACTACCTCCGATCCAGGGGTCCCACTGCCCCGTCCAGCCCCAAGGTTGAAGGAGGTGGGTGGGGAGCAGGGACCGGAGGGGAAGAAGGGGGAAGAGGAGGAGGCGGGGGAGCGGGAGCGAAGGCTACTGGGAGTGTTTTGTCTGCAGCAGCAGCGGCGCTTGGCGGCGGGCATAGCAGCAGCACGGGGGGTCCAACAGAGCATCCCACAGAGCATCCTGAGTTGAGAATCCCGGTTGGTCGAAGCAAAGGCGGAGGGGGATCAGTGCCTGCAGCCCGGTCTCTCCGACCCAGCCCGAGCGCCAAAATCTCGCCTTCTTTCTCCTCCGCATCCTCCTCCCTGTCGGGAAGTCCAGCGGGGTTAGTGCCTTCTGCTCGATCTCTCCGACCCAGCCCGAGCGCCAGAATCCCGTCTTCTTCCCCCCCTTCCTCCATGTCGGGAAGTCAAGCAATTGGGCGCGGTTCAGTGGTTAAGCCGCCGCCGTCTCGAGGCCCTAGCGTGGGCGGCAGCGGTGGTGGTGGTGGTCCCGGCTGTAGCGGCGATGGGATGCACAGCCCGCTACAGCCGGGCCCAGAGCTGCTTGTTGCTGCTGGGGAGCAGACTGGGAGCCTAAGTGCTGGTAGTGATGGTTCTGGTGATGGTGGTGCTGCAGTTGCCACTGTAGCCACTGCTGACGTGGCTGGTGCTGACGTGGCCGGTGCTGAAGTGGCGAATGCTGACGTGGCTGGTGCTGTTAAAACCGGGCTGGGAGCAGACCTGGACGGAGTGCGGCACTCGTGGAAAGTCCTCGCGACCCTGTCTGATGATGACGTGACAGCTCCTCCTGCTGCTGCTGATGCTGCTTCTGATCCTCCTCCTCCTCCTGCTGCTGCCTGGCAGCAGGCTTCCCAAGGCAGTCGAAGCACCTCCCACGTGGTCAGCGGCACCACCCGCAGCAACAGCATGCAGAAAGCGTTAGCAGGCACGGGAAGCATGTCAATGAAGGAAGGCAGGTGGGGAACTGCTGGGGGAATCGGCAGCAGCAGCAGCAGCAGGAACCTTGGGGGGAACAGCAGCAAGGGTTATGTAGGGAGCGGCAGTGGCAGTGGGAGCGGAAGCAGGAGCGGGAGGGGGATCGCAGGCAGCAGGTCGATGCGGTGGGGCGCACATGCGTCTCGGCTGAGCCATGTGTCTACTGCAGGAGAGGTATCTGCTGCCATGGGGATCTTCATGGTTGCTACAACTCGGGAGGAGGGCTTGGGAGGTCTGAAAGAGGACGGAGCAGAGGGAGGAGGAGGCGGAGGAGGAGCAGGAGAAGCGACAGCAGGAGGAGCGGAAGCAGGTGGGAAAAGCAGCAGCCCTTGGTCTCGCGTGCGTGCTCTGGCCCCCAAGATTCTGCAAGTCGCGTCTGAAACAGGCACAGGAGGAGGAGGAGCAGTAAGAGGAGCAGGAGGGATGGGCATGGGCATGGGAGGGGGTCCATCCTCGTCATGGAGTGGCATGTTTGCAGCTATGGCGCGCAGTGTGGTACAGTTAGAGGAGCTTAGAGAAGAGGTGGTGGCGATGAGAGGGGCTTTGGGGGAGACGGAGAGGAGGCTGCATGAGGCGGAGGAGAGGGCGGAGAGGGCGGAAGGGGAGGTGCGGGAGAAGGGAGAGGAGGTGGAGGAGTTGAGAGGGCAGGTGGGCGTGCTTATGGAGCGACTCAAGAGGTGAGCAGATGGGGGAGGGGGAGGGATGCCTGGTGCCTGCCTGGGCCTGAGGTGGCAGGTAGTGTGAAATGGTAGAGGAGTTGAGGGGGCAGGTGGGCGTGCTTATGGTGCGACTCAAGAGGTGAGCAGAGGGGAGAGGTGCTGGGGATGCTTAATGCTTGGGACTGAGGTGGCGGGTAGTAGTGGGGTAGTTGAGAGGGCAGGTGGGCGTTCTGATGGAGCAACTCAAGAGATGAGGACCTGGGAAGGAAGGAAGGGGAGTGGAAGGACAGGTGACGTGACAGTTTGGTTCGGGCCTTGGGTTTGTGGGAAAAGGTGAGGGTGAGAAACTCCCGTTTTGAGACGTCTCAAAAGTAAAAGGTGAGGAAGAAGAAACTCCCATTTTGAGACGTCTCGAAAGTAAAAGTTGAGGGGGAGAAACTCCCCTTTCCCCATCCTCCCCGTCCCCTCACCACGCCATCTGTCAGAAACCCTATTGCAGCACTGCTTTCATATGAACCTTGTCGTAACCCGCCCTCTCCTTCCCTCCCTGCCCTGTCCTCCTCTCCCTGCCCTCCCCTTTCCCCACCTCTTTGTTATCCCTTTTCAGCAAGGACAACGATGTGCGCCAGCTGTCAGAAACCCTCTCGCAGCACCGCGCCCAAGCGGCCTCTGCTGCTGCTGCTGCTACCGCACATTCTGCGAGCACAGCTGCCATTTCCGCACATGCTGGTGCGCATTCTGCAGGGGGATCAGCAGCAGCGGCAGCAGGAGGAGGAGCAGGGTTCAATCCTGCTCTGGCCCGATTGGCAGCGGCCAGTCTGGGTCCTTCGAAACCCGTTGCCCCTCTTGGTGGTAAGGCGGCCCCCAGTGGTGGTGTTTCCCCCCGCCCCATTCCCTCCATCTCCGTTCACTCCTCCTACCCCCAGCCCCCCACCTCGCCAACTCACCCCCAGCAACAAGCAGCAGGAGTAGCAGCAGGGGTAGCAGCAACAGCAGCAGCAGCAGCCGCAGGAGCAGGAGCAGGAACAGCAGGAGAGACAGAAGCACATTTTGGATCAGAATCGAGAGCAACACAGTCAGGAGCAATAAGTTTGGGAGCAGGAGACGGAGAGACAGGAGAGGCGGGGTCAAAGGATTCAGAAGGAGCAAAGGATTCGGCATCAGCGCTTGCGGTGTGGAGTGTGGCTCGAGTGGCCAGTGCGAGTGGGGAGATGATGGAAAACGCATCAAAATCGCTGGCTGCTATTGCGTATGATGACGCTGCCATTGCTCGCATTCAGGAAAAGCCCCCGGTGAGTGCTTGCTTGCTGCTGTCTATCTCATGGCTGTCTATCTCATGGCTGTGTATCTCATGGCTGTGTATCTCATGGCTGTTTCTCTCATGTGTGCGTTTCTCTACCCAAGGGGCATCCAGCTCGCTGGCTGCTATAGAGTACGACAGTGCTGCCATTGCTCGCATCGAGGAAAACCCCCCGGTGAGTGCTTGTGTGCTGCTCTCTCCCATGCCTGTTTCTCTTGTGTATAAGCGTGTCAAGACATCCACGTTTCTTTCATGCAGGAGTTCAGTTTAACGACGCTTCTGCTATCGCTCTGAATGGGCTGGTTTGGCTCTGGTAAGAAGTTACTCAGGCTTTCTCTCCCTCCCTCCCCCCTCCCTCTCTCCCTCCCTTCTTCCCCTCCTCCCTCCCCCCCTTCCCCCAGGAGTCCGTTCTCATATTTCTCACCACGCACATCATCCGCCTCTCCCCCCAAGGCCTCTCAGCTTTGCTGATTCAAAACATGCTTTCTTCCGCCCATCTCCCTCCCTCCCAACCACCAGGAGTCCGTTCTCATATTCCTCACCACGCACATCATCCGCCTCTCCCCCCAAGGCTTCCCCCTAACCATGTCAAGCTTTGCTGTCTCAAGCACTTAGTTCTCGCGGCCTTTTTTTCTCGTTCCCTGCCTCCCTCCCTACCTCCTCCCCCCACCTCCCCCAGGAGTCCGTTCTCATATTCCTAACCGCGCACATCATCGGCCTGTCCCCTCAAGGCCTCCCTTTGGCTGCTCCAGCCATCTACCGCTCCCTCCTCCACTTTGGCGCCTTCCCCCCTGCCTCCTCCCCCTCCCCTCCTGCTCTTGTCTTAAAAATCCCCTACTTGTCTCCCTCCCCCACTCCTTCTCTCCCTCCCTTCCCCTCTCCACCCCCTCCGCCCATCTCTCCCCCAGGAGTCCGTTCTCATATTCCTAACCACGCACATCATCGGCCTTTCCCCCCAAGGCCTCCCTCTGGCCGCCCCAGCCATCTATCGCACCCTCCTCCACTTTGGCGCCTTCCCCCCCGCCTCCTCCCCCTCCGCCCCGGCCCTCCTCTCCTCCACCGTTCGCCACCTGCAAGCCGCCATCCTTCCCGAAGAGGAAACCCTTTCTATTTCGGGAGAAGGGGTGGGGCCGGGCGGAGTGCCGGCTGTGAGGGTGAACGAGCAGTGCTACTGGCTGTCGAATGTCTCGTGTCTGATGTTGCTGGTTGAGGTGGTGTACAAACCTGCTGCTGCTGCTGCAGCAGCAGAAAAGCCCAAGACTGCTGCTGGCTCCAACTGGTTCACAAACATGTTTCAGGTGAGTCTCTCAGGTGTTTTTCAGGTGCGTTTTGGGTATGTTTCAGGTGTGTTCTTGGGGTGAACAAGCAGTGCTACAGGTTGATGGTCGAACGTGCCATGTCGGATGCTGCTGTTCGAGGTAGTGTATAAGCCTGCTGCTTCTGCTGCTGCTGCTGCTGCTTCCAATCAACCCAAGTCTGCTGGTGAGTCTAACTAGTTTACAAGGCCTCTCTGGTGGGTTTCAGGTGGGTTGAACAGGAGCTCGCAGTGCTGCTGGACGATGCCTTTCCAAGGTCCTTCATCTGATGACGCAACTCGTCAGCACCAGCAGCATCAACAGCAGCAGCAACCAGCGCTGGGCTCGGTGGAGTTTCTCGTGCTCAAGCAGGAGCTCTAATCCCCCTTTCCCCCTTCCCCGCCTGCTGCTGTCCCGTCTTCCCACCAGGCACCTTCGTTCAGCGACGCAACCCGTCAACATCACCAGCAGCATCAGCAGCAGCAGCAGCCAGCTCTGGGCGCGGTGGAGTTTCTCGTGCTCAAGCAGGAGCTCTAATCCCCTTGTTCCTTTCCCACACCTGTCCTGTTTTCCCCTGCGCCACTCCCCCCTCTCAGGCCCCGTCATTCAACGATGCAACTCGTCAACATCAGCACCAGCAGCATCAACAGCAGCAGCAACCAGCGCTGGGCTCGGTGGAGTTTCTCGTGCTCAAGCAGGAGCTCTAATCGCCCTTTCCCCCTTCCCCGCCTGCTGCTTTCCCCTTTCCCGCCAGGCCACATCATTCAACGATGCAACTCGTCAACATCAACAGCAGCATCAGCAGCAGCAGCATCAGCCAGTGCTGAGCTCGGTGGAGTTTCTCGTGCTCAAGCAGGAGCTCGCAGTGCTGCTCGCAGAGCTCCGAGTGCCTGTTCATCTACCTTATCATTTCCCCCCTCCCCACTTCCCCCTTCCCCACTTCCCCTATTCCCTTTTCCCTTTTCCCTCCGGCCTCACTTCCCCTCTTTCCCCTCCTTCCTCCTCTCAGGCCCCTTCATTCAGCGATGCGACTCGTCAGCATCAGCAGCATCAACAGCAGCAGCAGCCAGCGCTGGGCGCGGTTGAGTTCCTGGTGTTCAAGCAGGAGCTCGCAGTGCTGCTCGATGACGCCTTTCTGGAGCTCCGTGCTTCCGTCAACCTCGAATTGCAAACCCTTGTCTCGCTCCTAGCACAGGTAAGGATACCCGATTTTTGTGCGCCTCCTTCCCCCTCCCAGGGCCCTTCATTCAACGATGCAACTCGTCAGCAGCAGCAGCAGCAGCAGCCAGCGCTGGGCTCGGTTGAGTTCCTCATGTTCAAGCAGGGGCTAGTAGAGCTGCTCGCAGAGCTCCGAGTGCCTGTTCATCTACCTTATGTTCATCTACCTTATGTTCATCTACCTTATGCTCATCTACCAGCAGCATCAGCAGCAGCAGCAGCCAGCGCTGGGCTCAGTTGAGTTCCTCATGTTCAAGCAGGGGCTAGTAGAGCTGCTGGATGAAGCCTTTCTAGAGCTCTGAGCTTCTGTCAACCTCGAATTGCAGACACTGGTCTCGCTCCTAGCACAGGTAAGAAGGGCACCCGATGCAAGTGCTGTCTGTCTGTCTGTCTGGTACAGGTGGCATCTCCTCTCCTCGTGTTCAAGCAGGAGCTCTTAGAGCTGCTGGACGGCGCCTTTCTCGAGCTCTGAGCTTCCGTCAACCTCGAATTGCAGACCCTCGTGTCTCTCCTAGCGCAGGTAATGGCTGTTGAAGGTGGCATCTTCTTGTCTAGCGCAGGTATTGGGTGACAACCAATACCTGTCACAGCACAGGTAATGACTGGTGCAGGTGGCATCTACAGCCTGTCTGGTACAACGAGCGTCACTTGGTGTTCAGGAAGGAGCTCGCAGTGCTTTCAGGCTTCTAGCGTCTCCTCTCAATCTGCTCCCTCCCAATCCACTCTCCTCCCAACCGTCCTCTCCCCATCCGTCCTCTCCCCATCCGTCCTCTCCCCATCCGTCCTCTCCCCATCCGTCCTCTCCCTATCCGTCCTCTCCCAATCCCCTCCTTCTCCCCTTCAGAGCCCCACCGCCAACGCGCAGCACATGCGCGAGTTCTGGGCGGCGGCGCTTGTCTCGTTGCGGAGCACGGTGGGCTGCATGCAAGCCAACCGCGTGCCGACTGTGCTGGCCCGCCACCTCCTCTGGCAGGTGCTGCACTTCCTGGACGTGCGCCTCTTCAACGGGTGAGCCACTCCTCTCCATCTGACAGCCCTTTCTGCCCTTTCAGCCCTTTCAACGGGTAAGCAGTATTGCTCCCGTGCCGACCGTGCTGGCCCGCCACCTGCTGTGGCAGGTGCTGCACTTCCTGGACGTACGCCTCTTCAACGGGTGAGTCGTTTGGTAGCCTTTGCAGTTCATCGGGTATTCATGCCGAGCCGACCCGATCCCCCCGCGTGTCAAAGCACACCCGGGGTGAGTCGTTTGGTAACCCTTGGGGTGGGGTTCATCAGGTAACCGTGTTGCTCTCAACCCTCCGCGTGCCGGCGGTGCTGGCCTGCCACCTGCTCTGCCTCTGAGAGTTCCTCCCGTCCGCCCCTCCTTCCTTCATGCCTCCTCCCCTCACCCCAACAGCCTCATGCTGCGAAGCCACTGGTGTCCCATCACGCTCGCCAATGGTGAAGCCATGGAGCAAGGGCTGCTGGCGCTGGAAGCGTGGCTGTCAGAGCACGTGCACCCGACCCATGCCTCACTGCCTCCCCTTCCACAACTCCTCACCCCACAACACCCCTCTCAACAGCCTCATGCTGCGAAGCCACTGGTGTCCCATCACACTCGCCAACGGAGAAGCAATGGAGCAAGGGCTGCTGGCGCTGGAAGCATGGCTGTCAGAGCACGTGCACCCGTGGCTTGATGGAGCAGCAGCAGGCATGGGCATGAGCAGGAGCGTGGGGAGCCTCGGAGCCGGCACTGCTGCTGGAAGCGTGGGAGGAGGGTCTCGTGCCCTGCTGATAGATGCCCTACAGCATACATACCAGGCAGTGGTGCTGCTGGTGAGTGGTAGGGCACATGTGCTGCTGCAGGTGAGTGAGGGCATCTTTCTGTCATGATATATCAATGCGGGCGTGGCTGATTGACGCCCTACAGCATACGTACCAGGCAGTGGTATTGCAGGTGAGTGGTAGGGGCACTGGATAAACCAGCAGCGGGAATGGGCATGAGCAGGAGCGTGGGGAGCCTCGGAGCGGGCACTGCTGCTGGAAGCGTGGGAGGGGGGTCGAGGGCGATGCTGATTGATGCCCTGCAACATACGTACCAGGCAGTGGTGCTGCTGGTGAGTCCCTATTTGACAAGTATGGGGGCCCTTTCTCACGACCTCATGTGACCTCTCACGGGAGATTGATAGACGCCCTGCAGCACACGTATCAGGCAGTGGCAGTGGTATTGCTGGTGAGTTTGTTGTCAAGGAGGGTTTAGGGTTCCTCACCCCGCGAGTTCCTTGCTAGGCATCCCCCAATCCAGCCTACCTCTGGTAGCACTGCTGGGTGGCCGGTGCTTTTGAGGCGCCTCAAGAAGTGACTATCGTTCTTTGCTAAAGCGATCCTTCATGCTGCAGCTCTTCTTCATGACCAGTGACCCGCGAGTTCCTTGCTAGGCATCCCCCAAACCAGCCTACCTCTGGTAGCACTGCTGAGTGGCCGGTGGTCGAAGCATGGCTGTCAGAGCACGTGCACCGATGGCTGGATGGGGCAGATGGAATGGGCATGAGCAGGAGCGTGGGGAGCCTCGGAGTGGGCACGGCTGCTGGAAGCATGGGGAGAGGGTCACGGGCGCAGCTGATAGATGCCCTACAGCATACGTACCAGGTGGTGATGCTGTTTGTGACGCTAGGCACTCGATCTTGTGCTGGTGGGTGCGTTTTCCAGTCTCATTTGACAGAGCAGCTCACCATCCTCTGCTCGTTGTTCCCTGGTTTCTCCCTTTCCCACTCCCTTGCCCGCAATTCCCCTCTCCACGTCCCTCCCACTCCCTTGCCTGCAGATGGCGAAACAAAGTGCACAGAGGAGCATGGAGGAGGTGGCTGCTAGGTGCCCCTCTCCCAGATTCACTCAGCTCACCATCCTCTGCTTGTGCTCTCCCCTTCCCCACTCTCCCTCCCCCTCCTTCTCCCTTGCCACACACACACAGACCGCCAAGCAAAAAGCACGGAGGAGCATGGAGGAGGTGGTCTCGATGTGCCCCTCGCTCAACTTCACCATCCTCTGGTCCTCCCTCCCTACCTTTCTTCTCCCTTTCCCTTGCCTCCAGATTGCTAAACAAAAAGCACAGAAGACCATGGAGGAGGTGGTATCGATGCGCCCGTCGCTCAACTTCACGCAGCTCACCATCCTGTGCTCGTGGTCCCCCCCTTTCACACTTCCACACCACGCCCTTGTTCCCCTCCCTCCCTTCCTACGGACCGACTATATTGAAATCACTTATGAGAATTCTCAAAAGTGATTTGAGAATTCTCAAAAGTGATTTCAATACACCCTTGTTCCCCTCCCTCCCTTCCTACAGACCGCCAAGCAAAAATCACGGAAGAATATGGAGGAGGTGGTATCGATGTGCCCCTCACTCAACTTCACCCAGCTCACCATTCTCTGCTCCTGCTCTTCCCCTTCCACTCCTCCACGCCCTTGTTCTTCCCCCCCCCACGCGCTCCCCCACTCTTCCTCCCCCCTACAGACCGCCAAGCAGAAGGCGTGGAGGAGCATGGAGGAGGTGATGTCAATGTGCCCCTTGCTTAACTTCACCCAGCTCACCATCCTGTGTTCCTGGTCCCCCCTTTCCCACTCTCTTCCCCTCTTCCACTCTCCCTCTTCCTCCCTCCCCTCTCTCCCTAACAAAAGGCACGTAAGACCATGGAGGAGGTGGTCTCCATGTGGTGGTGGTGTCAATGTGTCCCTCGCTCAACTTCACCCAGCTCACCATCCTGTGCTCGTGGTCTTCCCCTTTCACTCAACCATTCACTTGTCCCCCCTCCCCTCCCCCCATACACAGACCTCGAAGCAAAAGGCACGGAAGACCATGGAGGAGGTGGTGTCAATGTGCCCCTCGCTCAACTTCACACAGCTCACCATCCTGTGCTCGTGGTTTGAGGACGAGGTGTATGGCTCGAGAGGGTTCGACAGGGCCGTGCTGCAGCAGCTGAGAGGAGCAGGGGAGGACTACGAGTCTGAATTGCTCGAGGCGTTTGAAGGGTGAGCTTATAGGGAGGATAACAGCCTTCCACAGGTGAGAGAGTCGAGTTTTGAGTCGACTCAAAACTCGACAGCCTTCCACAGGTGAGAGAGAGTTCGACAGGGCCGTGCTGCAGCAGCTGCGGGTAGCAGGGGAGGATCACGAGTCTGAGCTGCTTGAAGCCTTTGAAGGGTGAGTGTGTGTGGGTGCATGGGATGGAATGACGCTGGCAGAGGGTTCTATGATATGGGATACCGGGGGTTTTTAAATCCTCGAGTCACAATAAGGGGGTGGGAGGGAGGAAGTGGTACAGCTCACCATCCTGTGCTCCTGGTTTGAGGACGAGGTGTATGGCTCGCGGGGGTTTGACAGGGCTGTGTTGCAGCAGCTGAGAGGAGCAGGGGAGGAGTACGAATCTGAATTGCTCGAGGCGTTTGAAGGGTGAGCATATAACGAGGATAACAGTGGTTCTTGAAGGTTGAGCGTGGTGTGAATGGTATGGCAAGGACATCAGTGTCTTCTATTCCTCGTGCCCTCAGTCACGGATCCGCATGCACCCCGCCAATGTCTGTCACACCCCTCTTCACCCCTCTTTGCCCATCGTCACCCCTCCACACTCCCATCCTGGCCATGCACCCCCACAGCTGTGGTGGCAGCAGTGCCACCCATCAACTCATTCCCCATCCACTAAGTCTCTTTCACGCCCATCCACACCCCGCCAATGCCTGTCACACCCCTCTTCACCACTGTTCACCCCTCTTCATCCCTCCTCACCCCCTCCCCACCCCCAGCCTGCCATTCACCCCCACGGCTGTGGTGGCAGCAGTGCCGCCAATCAACCCGTTCCTCGTGCCACCGCCGCAGTTCCTCCCTCCCGCCCCTGCATTCGACTTCCTTCGCCAACAGCAGCTGCAGTAATGGTAGCTGTAGCAGGAGCAGCTGTAGCAGGAGCAGCTGTAGCAGGAGCAGCTTCAGCAGGAACAGCTTCAGCAGGAGCAGCTTCAGCAGAGAAGCTGTACCGTCATACCCCGGATATAAGCGCCACCCGCGGATAAGCGCCTGGCGCTTTTAATTGGCGTGTGGCGCTTATATCCGGTGCTCGATTATAAGCGCATACCTAAAAGGCTTACGGATTATAACCGCATACCTGTGCCTTACATTTTATAACCGCCACCCAGTTTTTTTCTTTTTTTTCATTTGAAGACCTTTTACATAATTAGTATACTAAAACATCATGTTAATTACTCTACAACTAGTTAATCTACTCCTACCTACGAGCCTCACACAGGCTTCACCATTTTCTACACTAGTTAATCTACCCTACTCTAAGCATCAGCTGTAGTGAGGTCATCTGGGTCGGCCTCAGAGTCCGACTCAGGTTCCTCTACGTTGTTGCAGAAGAAACCGTGTGCTGCAATTTCATCATCCATGTCGACCTCCTCGCCCTCGAGCTCGTCTCGCCTGTGTTGCAGGCAGAGCTTGTCCTGGGACCCATCCAGGGCGTTGCTGATGCCGCAGGTGAGGAACGCCCGTTGAATGAGCTCCTTGGGCACGGACTTCCAGGCCGCCGAGATCCACTTGAGCGTCAGCTCGACAGGAGGCTTCTTGATGTTGCCTGCCACGCAAATCCAGAAACCGGGTCAGCACGGGTTAAAGAAATAAAAACATAAACAGAAGAGCTGCACCTCTCACCTTTCTTCGTCAAGGTGTCGACCCCCTCACGCTCAAACCACTCCTGGTAGAGCTGGCGAACGGCGGCCTTGAAGGAGCGGTTAACCGCGACGTCGAGGGGTTGAATCTCCGAGGTGCAGCCAGCAGGGATAACCGCAGGGACCAGGTTCAGCTCGCCAAACTTCTTCTTCACCTCCGGGGTCAGGTGCCCGCGGTATGAATCGAGGACGAGCAGAGCTTTGCGGGGGCGGACTCCGAACTTGGGGTTGATGTACGGCTTCACCGCCCCGTCCAGCCACTCGATGACACCGTCCGCGTCCATCCACCCGTTGGGATGGACCCCCACGTGGATATCTGCACAGCAACAAAACCACGATGTTAGTTAAAATTTTTAACTGACATCGACATGCCACCGCGTAATCGACGTGTGGTGCATACCTGAAGGGAAATCTCCTTTGGGGACGGTCTTCCTTTTGAAGAAGACCCAAGGCTTCAACTTCTCCCCGCTGGCGGTGCAGGCGAGCATCACTGTAACCCGCTCTTTCTGGTAGCCGCCGCTGCGGACGGGCACGGAGCGCGAGCCAACCTCTTCAACGGTGCGTTCGGATGGCATCTCGAGCCAGAGGGGCGTCTGGTCCGCGTTTAGAATCCACGGCAGGTCGATCTTGTACTGCCGGCGGGAGTGACGCACGTACGTCCAGAAGTTCTTGACATCAGTCTCGCAGTCTGGGACACGGGATGGGAGGAACAGAAAGCACAAACACAGAGTGAGAGCCATGAATAGAAGGAACAGACAAACAACAATACCACCAAATAACAACTCACTGGACGAGAGCTTCTGGCCGACCCGGGTCTTCGCTCTGGTCGTCAGGTTCCAGCGGCGGCGAAAGCGCTGAGTCCACCGCTGAGAGCCGGCCCACTTTTCACCTGGGTGTAACTCTTTCATCACCTCGTGCGACCACTTCTGCAGTCGTGCGATCGAGACGGCGAGGCACTTCTTGCGGTGGGCGAGAAACCTCCGGTACACCTCCGCTTCCATGTCGCGATACCACGAGCTCCTTCCGCGGCCGTGCAGGCGACAGCGTGCACCGTGCGCGCCCTCAAGCTCACCCTTGCGGTTCTTCCACTCCGTGAGGCACCTTCGGGAGATGCCGGATTCGCGAGACATGCGCCGCACACTCATCTCTCCGGCTTCGAGCTTCAGAATCCATTGCAGCTTCTCATGCGAGGTGTAGGAATTGCGCCTGTGCTTTGTCGGCTTGTGCCTGGGGGAGGGAGGACGGGCATCACGACTATCGCGAGATGGGTGGGGCCTTTTTTTATTCGGAGGGGGAAAGGAGGGAATTGGAAGGTGCTCGGGGAGACCGTCAGCAGCCCAGAACTCCACGTCGTCGTCCGCACCGGTAGCGGATTCGTCCAACGGGCAATCAGCCGGCGCTCCCCATCGAGGCTCCGGTGCGGAGGAAGATCCTTCGCCGCCGCTGCGTTCAGGCTCGAACAGGAAGGCGTCGAACGCCGAGTAGCCAGGGGGGAGGAGGGTCCGGAACACCAACAGCAGGCGGGTCAGGAGGGGCCGGAGGAACGGGAGGAATAGGAGGCGCCGGGGGAGCGGGAGGGGTAGGAGGCGTAGGAGGCGTGGGAGGAACGGGAGGCACTACTGGTTGTGGTGGAGGGACGGGCGCAGGGCGCGTCTGCCATTGAGAGTAGTCACGAGTGTCTCTGCGGGTATTTTCTCTAGCAGCAGGTTGGCGGCGGAACAAGAAATGCGTGCCTGGAAGGCCCACCATGGCCACGGCAGGCCAAACGAACGAAGAAAACTGAACCAAAAGTTGGGAATGAGGGCCGTATGAAGCCCTCGCCCGAGACCCCTTCAGTTTCGTGGCCCGGCCTCCTCTACGGGGAAAGTGTGGCCACAGTCAAGATTCCCCGCAGAGGAGCTGAAAGGGACAGCTCTTTGCCTCGGTGGCAGGGAATCTTACTGTTGATGGGCACGTCGTGGCTGAACCACGACGTGCCCACGATCGCATGCAACCCTGATTGGGCCGCTGTGATGCGAAGTACGTGTGCCCTGGCATGGGCCAGGTTCACGTTCGATGAACCTGGCCTGGCCAACAAGGCGTGGAAGGCGTGATGCCACGCCTTGTTGGCCGTTTCACGCGCAAAGCATGCACAGAGTCGAACGTTCTCGACTCAGGTGAATCCGCCTTTGAGAATGCTTCGATTTGGTATATTTAAAAACAAATTTCATTTTTGACATAACATAAACGCCGGCGCTTATAATTTTACTATATTATAAGCCCACCCCCTAAAAAAAACATGTTTTATTAGTGCCCCCCATGGGGGTATATCCGGGGTATGACGGTATCTGAGTCATTCTTTAGGATTCTCACAAGTACAGCAGCACCATCAGCGTGCAGGCACCATCAGCCACAATTCCTCCCACCTGCCCCTGCATTCGACTTCCTGCATCAACAGCAGCAGCAAAAGAGCAGTTCCTCACACCCATGCATTTGACTTGTACCAAACTCGTTATAACTTACAGGGTTTCCATGCACTTGCCTGCCACCACCAGAACTTCTATAACCTCCCATAATGCTGCACAATTTCTAGCCAAGGTTCAAATGCTTATTCAATACATACTAGCCGTTGCATGCTAATACTGCCAGCTTCCCTTTAACAGAAGGGCTTAATTGTGAGCCTGCACACTGCGGCTGCGAATGCCTTACACGCAAGCAACCTTACAGGGCTACAGACTGGGCTGAGTTGCTAACCTGGTCCACACATTTACTATGCTTCTCAAGAATTACATGTTACTTGGTCTCACGGTATGTGCGAGGAGTCGGTATGTCAACGGTGTCAGTGTCTACTTCAGGGGCTAGTAGCATGGCACAGAGATGGGGAGAAGCGGCTGCCAAGAACTCCAACTCAAACTGTCTGTCCTTAAGGACGTCACAGCCAAGGGCAGACTCACCCCCGGCAGAAAGAGGACGGGTAGGAGGAGCAGCCATCACGCTGGTTGCGTAGTCAAGGCGGCGGGTGGCGACGAAGTCATCGACAGCGGCAGAAGAGCCGAGACAGACGACGGAGAGGCACGAGGGTCCGTAACAAGAGAGGCGAGAAGACGTGAGAGAACAAGACGAGGCGTGGTGTTTGTTGTAACACTGCTTGGAATGTGTATAAACAATGTGTGGTGTTCATAAGCAGTGCATCCACCATATGGTTACCATAAGAACCGTTGCAAGCCCTCGTGCCCCTCCCACTTGAACGGCCGGAACAAAAAGAGTGCCATAGTGGCAATATCTACAGCAGCAAAGGCAGTGACAACCAGAGCACTTGCAACCCTCTTTTCCAGGCGGTTGTGAGGCAGGGGGAGGTGCAGCAGCAGGAGCAGGAAGGGAGGGATGAAGTAGCGGAATTCGAGGAGTGGGGAGGGGACGAGAACTGCTGCTGTAGCGGCTGAGAAAAAGAAGAGGCCGAGAGGGGTCATGGCACGGCCTGGGGAAAGGGGTGTGGGGAGGAAGGGAAAACGGAAGAGAGGGACGTAGACATGGGGGGAAGAGGAGAGTTAAATTAGGGAGAGGTGTTCAAGTGGCGGTTGCAAGACAGAGAGGTCAGGCCAGGTCATGTGTAGAAAGTAGATTTTTGAGACGTCTCAAAAATCTACTTTCTACACGTGGCTGTTCAAGTGGCTGTTGCAAGACAGAGAGGTCAAGCCGGGTCATGGCACGGCCTGTGGGGGAGGGGGCGAGAGGAGAGGGCGTAGGAGGAGAGGAGAGGAGAGGAGAGCAGCAGCAGGGAAGGGAAGTGAGGTCATGCCTCAACAACAGCACTAGCGGTTAAAACATTACATAGATAGGGCGCTGTAGAGGACGAGCAGGGAAAGGGCGTAGAGTGGCAGCAGCAGGGAAGGGATGTGGCGCATGGCTCAGATCGCACGTGGTTCAAAGGAGAATTCAGTCAGAGGGAGAGCATCACATACGTAGGGTGTGGTAGAGTGTGAGAAAGGAGAGGGCGTGGAGTAGCAGCAGCAGGAAGCGCTAAATCAGAGAGCGGAATTGCAAGCAGTTGGGAGCTGCGCATGAGCTGTGAGTTGCCACGTGATAAAAGAAGTGTTTTGAGACATCTTAGATAACTTGTTTTATCGATTGCAATGCAAGTAGCAAAGAGCTGTGCATAAGCTGTGAGTTGCCACATACGTAGAGCATGGGTGAGGGCGAGCAGGGAGAGGGCGTAGACTGGCAGCAGCAGGAAGCGCTGTGATGGGCTGTGGGGCGGATTGATGAGCCGGCGCCAGATGTAGAAGGGGTAGTGACGGTTGTCCGCTAGTAAGTAGGGGTGGGCGAGGCTGGGAGGAGGGGCAGTGGGAGAAGGGGCAAGAGAGAGCGGAATGGAAAGGGTGGATGAGCCAACAATAGATGTAGAAGGGGTAGTGACGGTTGTCTGCTAGTAAGTAGGGGTGGGCGAGGCTGGGAGGAGGGGCAGTGGGAGAAGGGGCAAGAGAGAGCGGAATGGAAAGGGTGGATGAGCCAACAATAGATGTAGAAGGGGTAGTGACGGTTGTCTGCTAGCGATAGGGGTGGGCGAGACTGGGAATGAGAGGGGGGAGGGCAGTAGGTGCAGATGGAAGGAAGTGGCCCGGGAAGCAAGTGAGAAGAATGGGCGGGATGATGAATCTGCACCAGATGTAGAAAGGGTAGTGACGATTGTCCGCTAGCAGATAGGGGATGATTGGAGAGAGCGAGAGGTGGTTGAGAGGAGGAGTGGGGAGGGGAGGGAGGGGGCGAGGACGGGAAAAACGATACAGCGATAACCTTTGAGAATTCTCAAAAGTCACTCCGATACAGCGATAACCTACTTGCTGTATCATTGTGACGGTCAGAAAGGAAAAGCGAAGGAGAGGAGGTAGACAAGGATGGGGCGACGATGATACCTGAAGTGCTTGATGGTTAGAAAGAGCAGGGTGGAGACGAGGAGAGAGAGAGGACGAGGCAGCGACCGGGGGATTCTTGGAGAGAGGGTGAGGAGGAGGAGAGGAGGGAGGGGGGGGGAGGGAGGAAGAGCGAGGATGGAGAAAGGAAAGAGCGACGATGATACCTGAAGTGTTGGATGGTGAGAAAGAGCAGGGCGGAGGCGAGGAGAGATAGGATGAGGCAGAGGGTGGGGGGTGATCGGAGAGAGCGAGAGGTGGTGGCGAGGAGGGAGGGAGGGAGGAGGGGACGAGGAGGGACCGGGAAATGGATAGAGCGAGAATGCTACCTGAAGTTTTTTATGGTGAGAAATAGGAGGGCGGAGACGAGGAGAGAGAGGAAGAGGCAGTGACCGGGGGCCGATCGCAGAGAGCGAGAGGAGGATGAGAGGAGGGGGAGGAGGGAGGAAGGGGCGAGGAGGAGGGGGGAGAGGGAGAGGGCGGAGAAGGCTGCAAAGTAGAGTGGCTGCATGAGATGGGGGGAGAGGCGGTGCTCTGTGCGTGCTCCTGGATGGGTAGGGTGGGGTGGGGTGGGGTGGGGTGGGGTGGGGTGGGGTGGGATGGGGTGGGGTGGGGAGGAGAGCAATAGGGAGGGAAGTATATGTTGCTATGGAGCAAGGAAGGCTGTGCAGCAGGGAAGGCTGTGGAGCAGAGCAGCTGCATGAAATGGCTGAAGTCTCAATAGTGATGTGCAGCAGAGCAGCTGGCTGGCTGGCTGACTCCAACTCGAGCATCCTCAAAACTAGAGGCACGGAGGAAGGGTGATGCGCAGAAGTACAGCAACGGTGTAAGTGGTTTGAATTGCCTCAAAACACACTCATTTACAGGTACACTCACACATAAACACAATGCCTCATCACTCACCGACGACGATTCCCCCATTGACACGCACGAAGACAAAAAACGCCGCCAACACTGCCAGCAGCGGGAAGAAGTTTCTGAGAAATTTTCCCCGCACGGCCCACGCTCGGTGCAGCAGCAGCAGCAGCGCCTTGGGGATGTCCTCCCCTCTCGCAACCGCCTCCGTCGCCCAGGAAGGATCCCGGAAGCTTCTCTCTGTTGAATCGGTGACAACGCCGTTGCGTAAGACCCCCCCATGGTCATCAGCTCTGCTCCTGCTGTTCTCGTCTTTTTCTGCCTTGTCTTTAGGACTCCCCTTGAGTATGTTATAATCAGTTGTCAGCTTTGGTGGAGTCCCTTGGGGGGTTAAGAGAACCAGCATGCCTAGGAAGTGCGAGGTGGAGAGGCATAGGGCGAGAACGGCCCACACCGCGTTGGTCTGGCGGATGATGATGCTGCCTGCTGCTAGCTGCCAGGGGGGAAGGGGGAGAAGGGGAGGGGTAGTTGCGGAAAGTTGAGAGGAAATGGGGAGAGGCAAAGAGGAGCAGCGCTGAGCCCACACGGCGTTGGTCTGGCGGATGATGGTGCTGCCTGCTGCTAGCTGCCAGAGGGGGGGGTGCGGGAGGATGGCACGGGAGAGGGGGGAGGCTTATGAGACAGCTCAGAGAGTGGACAGGAAGAGAGAGGCAGAGGGCGAGAGGCAGAGAGCGAGAACCGCCCACATGGCGTTGGTCTGGCGGATGATGGTGCTGCCTGCTGCTAGCTGCCAGGGGAGAGAGGGGAGGGGGGAAAGGATGGATTTGGGGGAGGAGTGGTAGAGAAAGTGGGAGGGGGGTTGGGGAGAGAGGTAGACGAGGGAAGTGGGGAGGAAGGGGGAGGGGAGAATGACTTTTGAGTCGACTCAAAAGTCACGAAATTGGGAGGGGGGTTGGGGAGAGAGGGAGACGAGGGAAGTGGGGAGGAAGGGGGAGGGGAATGACTTTTGAGTCGACTCAAAAGTCACGAAAGTGGGAGGGGGGTTGGGGAGAGAGGGAGACGAGGGAAGTGGGGAGGAAGGGGGAGGGGAGAATGTGAGAGAGCAGGAAGCACTGCCCTCATGGCGTTGGTCTGGCGGATGATGATGCTGCCTGCTGCTAGCTGCGGAGGAGGGAGGGAGTGGAAGATGAGCAGTAGAAATAGGGACAAGAGGTGGGTGGGAGATCTGAGAGACAGCTAGAGAGTAGTGGAACAGAGTGAAATGGAGAAAAGACAAAGCACTCACCAGTGCAGCACGGTAGTGTTGCCTCTTGTGCTCACCAGTGGGGAGGAGCCCACGTGTCGGGGGGGGGAAGGAAACCAAAGAGAGAGAGCATAACACAGCATGGGGATGAGAGGAGCAGAGCAGAGAAGCAGGGCACTCACCAGTGCAGCACGGTCGTGTTACCTCTTGTGCGCACAACGCATCATAGCCAGCACTGCTACGGACGAAGCCACATCTACGTGTGACCGTGAGAGGAGTGGAACAGAGTAAAACAGAGCAGAGAAGCAGGGCACTCACCAGTGCAGCACGGTCGTGTTGCCTCTTGTGCGCACAACGCATCATAGCCAGCACTGCTACGGACGAAGCCACATCTACGTGTGACCGTGAGAGGAGTGGAGCAGAGTAAAACAGAGCAGAGAAGCAGGGCACTCACCAGTGCAGCACGGTCGTGTTGCCTCTTGTGCGCACAACGCATCATAGCCAGCACCGCTACAGACGACACCAAGCCAATGTGTGCGGTAGAGAGGAGTGGGGCAGGGTAAAATAACGCAGAAAAAGAGCGCTCACCAGTGCAGCACTTTTAAGGCGCCTCAAAAGTCGGGAGAGAGGAGTGGGGCAGGGTAAATTAGCACAGAGAAGAACGCTCACCAGTGCAGCACGGTAGTGTTGCCTCTTGTACACACATCGCATCATAGCCAGCACTGCGACAGACGACGCCACGTCCGTGTAGTATAGGAATCCGAAGAACCAGTGCAGAGGGAACAGGACAAACATCGCCGCCCTCCACGTGCAGTCCTCGTCGACCTCGTCGTGCACGCGCGGGCGGCTTTTGGCATCAGCTTGCACGTCGTTCCCGGTTTCGTCTCTCGTTTCATCTCTGGTGTCGTCCCGCGATTCGTCTCTGGTGTCATGTCGGGTTTCGTATCTGTGCAGCAAGGCAGCGACACCACGTGCTCGGGACTGGGGCTTGTTCACCTGGGGTATAAGGTGGATAGAGGAATGACATGACAAGGGACGAAATAATATTTTGAGTCGACTTGAAAGAAACGTGGCTTGCCCGCCTGGGGAATAACGTGGGTCGAGGAATGACAAGGGATGAGGGAAAGGATCAAGAGTCTTGTGATGGCAACTTCGCTACAGCCATGTGCTATGAGCACGATTCCGCCATGCGCGTTAGGGTTTTTGCGATATGCAAAATCTAGATAAATAAATAGGAAGAGCAGAGAGGAGGGGAAGAGCCGAGAGGATTAGGGGATGCAGAGAGATGGGAACAAGGAGGCAAAGGGAGGAATATACGAAAAGAGTTGGAGGAAGGGGAGGAGGAGGGGGAAAGTGGGGTCCTACTCACATCACAGCATTACCTTCTTTAAACGAGCTGCAGCTGATATCTCAGCAGCGGTATCAGAAGCAGAAGCAGCAGAAGCACGGGCAGCAGAACGGGCCGTGGAGTAGAAGAGAGGGAAGGAGAGGACGAGGAGGAGGAGGTTGAGAGACCGCAGCGTCACGGGGGAGCACAGGGACGCGAATGACACGCCTGCTGCTGACGTGGCACCTGACAGGGTGGCGTCTGACGTGGCATCTGACGTGGACGCCAGATGGAGAGCGATTTTGGCGATGCCTAGGAGTTGCAGGAGAGCGTATTGCATGCCCACGAATACAAGGGCTAGGTAATAGCTGAGGGATGGGGGATGCAGGAGGGGGGTTGGTAGGGGAGGGGGGAAGATGGGGTTTGTGAAGGAAGAACGGAAGGGGAGAAAGGAATAATTGGGGTCTCCTGTACCACGAATACAAGGGCTAGGCAGTAATTGGGGAATAGGGGTGAGTGGAGGGAGCAGAGTGAGGAGAGAAAGGAAAGAAATAGGGAGGCGGGGACGAATAAGGAGGGAGAGGGATGGAGGAGGAGAAGAGAGAGAGGAAGGGGGAGAATGCTTGGAAAGACGGATTAAGATTGTTGACTCTGACCTGTGTTGACTTGCGTTGACTTACAGGCCAGGCAGCGTGGTGATGAGCGGGTGCCACGTCAGCAGGTCCCCTCGGCAGTACTGCTGCGTCTGAGGCACGTGGAATATCTCGTCCTGAATGTTGGGAGGGAGAGCACAAATGGGGAGGAGGGATGAGAGGAGGCCGGGGGGAGGGGGGATGGGAGGGGAGGGAGAAAGGGAGGGGGAGGGGGAGGGGGCGGGGAGGGGGGAGGGGAGATGGGAGGGGAGGGAGAAAGGGAGGGGGAGGGGGAGGGGGCGGGGAGGGGGGAGGGGGCGTGGAGGAGGGAGGGGGAAGGAGAGGGGAGGGGGAGGGGAAGCGGGAGAGAGGGGAGTTTGGGGAGAGGGGAGGTGATGGGGAGGAAGAGGCGAGAGAGGAGGGAGAAGGAGGGGTGAAGAGAGGCGGATGGCGGAGGGGGGGTGGAGTGGCTGGTGGAGACCCGCAGGTTAGTGTCCCTCAGGTTAATTTCCCTCAGGTTAGTGGCCCATATTTGCGACTCGGTAACTTGGATATGATTCTAACAATGAAATTATTCTACCTTGGATTGTGCATTGTAGCGCACTCGTCTGATGTCCTGTAGGGCAGAGGGTCATACTTGTTTGTTTCGTTCGATGCATCATAAAGATATGGTACTCGTATTGTACTAACGTAGCATAAGCTACACCACATAATCTAGCAGAGGGTTGTGACGGGGAACACGATGATATATTATGAGTCGACTGGAAAGTTTCATAATCAAATCACCCGTTGTAGGATATCAGTCTCGCACCATGTATGGCTGGAGAACATGGTGAATTCTGAATCGACTCAAAAGCTATTCTCGCACCATGTACGGCTGGAGAACATGGTGAATTCTGAATCGACTCAAAAGCTATTCTCGCACCATGTACGGCTGGAGAACATGGTGAATTCTGAATCGACTCAAAAGCTATTCTCGCACCATGTACGGCTGGAGAACATGGTGAATTCTGAATCGACTCAAAAGCTATTCTCGCACCATGTACGGCTGGAGAACATGGTGAATTCTGAATCGACTCAAAAGCTATTCTCGCACCATGTACGGCTGGAGAACATGGTGAACTCTGAATCGACTCAAAAGCTATTCTCGCACCATGTACGGCTGGAGAACATGGTGAATTCTGAATCGAATCAAAAGCTATTCTCGCACCATGTACGCCTGGAGAACATGGTGAATTCTGAATCGACTCAAAAGCTATTCTCGCACCATGTACGCCTGGAGAACATGGTGAATTCTGAATCGACTCAAAAGCTATTCTCGCACCATGTACGGCTGGAGAACATGGTGAATTCTGAATCGACTCAAAAGCTATTCTCGCACCATGTACGGCTGGAGGACATGATGATTCACGAGGCACGCCACGAACGCGGTGACATGTGATTTGACTGGAAAGCTTGTTAATCTCGCATTTTTATGTCATTCTCGCACCATGTACGGCTGGATAACAATTTTGATTCGACTCAATAGCAACTCTCGCACCATGTACGGCTGGGGGACATGGTGATTCACGAGGCACGCCACGATCGCGGTGACATGTGAGTTGACAAGAAAGCTTGGGGGAAAATCTCGCATTCAATACTTATTCTCGCACCATGTACGGCTGGGGGACATGGTGATTCACGAGGCACGCCACGATCGCGCCGCTCACGAGAAGCGCTTCCGTGACGCGCCGCCGCACCCATTTTAAGTCCATACCACCCGCTGCCATGCTGACTCGTCACAGCTGCGACGACGGTGTTACGGTGAATCACGCGTGTCAGCGGCTCGCAGGGAGCATCGTATGAACGGAGAGAGGTCCGAAAAGAATGGCAGCAGCAGGAGCACTGAAAGAAAAAGTAGTGGACTGAATTTGCGCTAGAGAAGCACATTGGACAAACTGCATGATCGAAGTCGGCAGCACCAAGGTGTGTCGGAAGTTCGGTCTCGTGTGGTTCAAATATATTCAGTAACGGTTGAATAAATAAAATAAATGGTTGGATGGGGTTTTGAGCGAAATGAACTTCACGAAACGCCCTGAAAAACAACACCAAGGCATCATCACATCCGTTGGGAACTTGGGATCAGTTTGGCTCCATTGCGCTAGCAATACCTCTATGAAACGCATTTGACCGAACAAAAGTATGTGATATGAATTGAAAACGCACCCACCCGCTGAACCAGCTCTTTCACAATAGGCAACATCTAGGGCAGTTCCCGTTAGTGGATTAAAGAAGCTTGTAATGCAAGGATATTTTTGGCTCAGAGTGCAGAATATTGGTGAATTTGTGGTGGGGAAAGCACAAGGAATTTACCAGTTTCCACCAAGGGATTCCTCTTGTGTTAAAGCCCGCGGCCCAAATTGCGGGCCGCGCGGGTCAAGCTTTTAAAACTTGACGAACTAGTGTTTGCAAGGTTTTAAAAAAAGCGCGCCTGCGACTGAACCAACTCCCAGGGCGAAATAACCGAAATCGATAACGTTCGCCAAACCCCAGACTAGAAAAACCCCCTCGCGTCAAGCTTTTAAAAGTTGTGCAATTTGGGCTGCCGGCTTTAACTAGCCGTAAACATCTAAAATACCCAGTACTAGACACTGCCATAACATCCCTAGAGTATATTAGGGTACATTCCGCTGTGGACACTGTCCCAATCGATGTGTCCCAATCGAGTGTACCGCTCCGAACCGAACTAAACCAGAGACGCGAAAAATTCGAAACGAGGGTGCAATTTGGTGTAATACGATGCAGTGCGGTAGAAACGATTGGGACACTTTCGATTGGGACATGTCCAGCGCGGAATGTACCCTTATATATTTTTTTATTCTGGACACCTAGCCTCTTCAGAATTATTTTACTGAAGATTTACCATTACTGCTTCATAGCCTTAGTGACGTACACGGAAGGACTTAAAAGACAACTCCTGAAGATCGTCCATCTCATTCTTAAAAGTGCATCGCTCAATGCGGGAGTAAGGAGAGCCAGTGGTGCATAGCCATACTTTCCTGCAGCCCAATAAGTCCAGATGCAAAACAGAGAGCGCACGAGGGGTTCAGGGGGGCAGGAGTAAGGGTGGGGGGAGAGGGGAAGGAAGGGGGAGAGAGAGGAGGGATGGGGATGGGAGAGGAAGGAAGGAATTATGTCCACATGAAGCTTCAAATGACCCATCAGAAGCAAGAGAGATGTCAAACCCTCACAATGCTGCACGGCCTCTCTCTTCAGATATCGGAACGACACTCCTTGCACCACATTAAACAGACTCGCCATTCTATACTCGTATCAACCACTTCGTTATACTCACATTTCCTGCACGTGCTCTCTGCGGCACCACCCCACCAGCCCCAGTGTGGTCGCCGCGTGGCCCGTGTTGTACCGGAACGACACTCCTTGCACCACTTCAAACGGACTCACTTTACTCATACCAACCACTTCGTTATACTCACATCTCCTGCACGTTCTCCTTGCGCCCCTGAATCTCCCCCTCCACTGTCCCCATGTCTGTGTTTCGGCACCACCCCACCAGCCCCAGTGCGGTTGCCTTGTGGCTCGTATAATACCGGAACGACACCCCTTGCACCTGACATAGCGAGTGAGGACAAATGGAGAGACGTTAAGGAAACAGGTGACCTTGTGGCTTGTGCAATACTGGAACGACACCTCTTGCACTTGACAGGAACACAATGAGTATGAAACAGAGCTAAGAGGCATTTAGTGTCAGCCCCAGTGCAGTCGCCTTGTGGCTCGTGTAATACCGGAACTACACCTCTTGCACCTGACAGACAGTGATAGTATGGAGATTAACGATGATGGACCGAACCCCGCAGTAGGGATACCCTATACCTGACAGAAACTGATGGAAAGGAGCAAGCAGCTTTTACTGATTTTGGCTGAATGCAGGGCTGTGAGTGTTCTATATTGCCAAGGCATGACTAGAAACGGACCAGAACGGGCGAAAAGGAATCTAGCATTCACCCGCAGCGACTTCACGGGCGTTCTCTACAGAAAAAAAAGAAGGAATCTCGTTAGTCCGGATCGGCGTAGCGTACTCATCCGCATCCCCGTTACCTTGCCGAAGACCTCGAAGGCAAATCCGGCAAGCGCCATCTCGCCGCCCTCACGAGATGGAGAGCGGAGATTACGGAGTAATGGGGCGGGGAGGGCGCAGGGAGAGGAGAGCAACGAGAGCAGGGGGAAGGGAGGGGGAATGGGAACGAAGAAATGCAGACGACCGGAGACGCGATAAGAGCGATGGCGTTGGTAGTGAAGAGAAATGGCGAGACGCGGAAACGTAAGAAAATGGCAGGAGAGTGTTTCGCCGGGAACCGGAGATGTCGCGTCAGGCAATACGGAGTTCCGAGCGCGACATTACGACATTCTATGTGTGCTAACAGCGATGCCCCTCGAACAGCGTAATGGCAGGCGTAATAGGCGGGTGACAAAATTTAGAGCATACCCCATAATAGCAGGATCAATCCAGCAACAAATGGAGCTCTTTATGCCCTAGATAGGTGTAGCAACTGCAGGTTTGTGGCGTTCCTAGAGTGTACAGAAGATTTGCATAAAGAAATAACTGAGTTTCTACGAGCAATGCTTTATCTTTAAATGAACTTTTCTGTTACAAACATTCAATCAGCCTACGGAATGCAGAATTCGTTGAAGGATGCCTCTAAGCTACGTTATGCTATAACATAAGTCCTTGAAGTTTGTAGGAGAATCCTTTACAGAAATGCTTCCGATACGAGAAATTACTGCAATAATTGAAGCTATCTCGCTTGAATTAGCCTGAGCACTGCATTATTTGTGCTAAATTATTTGCTTTCGCAAAAGGCGTGAGTTGCGGACAATCGTCGAATGACACGTCGGCATCTGTCTCAAATAAATCCAGCCGGCTCGAGCCGCGTACCCAAATGTGTAATCGACTTATCGTACCGCGCAAATAATCCATCCTCTCAACTTGTTCTGTGTGTGAGAGAGAGAGCAAATAAATCGAGTCACGGATTACTCAGGACGAATATGCTGAAACAAACAGCCGATTTCGTCCTATTTCCTTTCAACCCTTCCTCATTCGCAAGCTATTGCGCTCCTGGAATAGTCTGCTGCTGTTCGATTCAGCTGCAGGGATCAAATCAGGGGCGTGCGACTGGGAGGAACTGAAGCGAGTCTTTTACGGGAAATGAAAATTTCCATCATGGGCTCGACGACGTACAGGTTTGTCCTTCTCATAGTATCGTTCACAATTGCTCTAATTGGTCAAGCTACTGCCCGGCTTCTCAACGAGGATCTTTCGCTGCCCGACGCATGCGCTCTCCTGCCGGAGCACTCGGCCCTTTGCTCCGCGGAAGTTCTCTCCGCGCGGCGTTCTCTGCGCGCGGATTCCGTTCCGCCAACTCCTCGATGCATGCAGCGGGCGCTCATTCGGCGCGCAATGGAGCGCGCGCAAGCGACGATGGAACACGTGGCGCAGCTGAAGGCGGAAAACGCGGATGAAAGTTCGCTGACGCACGCGGCAGCGATTGACTGCGTTCACCAGGTATAAAAATACATTGGACAATATGTTGGAAAAATCGTCATTGGAAAAATCGTCAAAAGGGACTTACAAAACCAAGAAAACTCATTAGAAATCATCGCACGGTATATGAAATCTGCAGCTAAAATATTTCCCTAAACTGCTAAAATGACGCAAAATGACTGCTCATTATTTGTTAAATTGCTTGATATCTGAAAAGCCGACCCTCCCTCCCTCGGTTTCTCCCTCTCACCCTCCTTCCCCCTCCCTCCCTTTCTCTCCCCTCCAGATATCCATGACGCTCGACAATCTCGAGAATTCGCTGAGCGCCGTCACCGCCGCAATCAACGGTTCACAAGCCACTCCGAACAGCCTGCATTCCGACGGCCGTCCGATGTTTCCGGCCGATCTGACGGCTTCCGTTGACGACCTGCCGTACCTGCTGACATCAGCTCGGGCCAACATCGACAGCTGTGTCGAGGGCCTGCAGGAATTCGCGCCGGATGCGCTGGAAACGGCGCCGGGGATTCGCCTTCGGTCGGAAGTTACGCTCATTACAGTCACAGTCACGGCAGCCCACGCGTGCGTCCCGTGCGCAATCGACGACGAGATCTCCGCCTCAGCAGGCGGAATTTCTTCCGCCGATGATGATTCCGCCGACTACCCCGCTGACTCTTCCGCCGACGGTTACGGGTACGACTACGATTCCCCACCTCGCCGCCGGAGAGTAGCGGAAACAGACCAATCGAGCGACAGCGGCGTGCCTGGGTGGGTAACTCCGGGGATGCTAGAGCACCTGAAGCGCATTCAGGCGGCGCACATGGGCGGGAGAGACGCGGGGGACGCGCCGGGCGTGCGGAGACTCCTTGGCCTGGATGGCGCAGAGACAGAGGACGACGCGGGGGGGGCGGAGGGAGCGGAGGCAGCAGACGCATCGGCGCAAAGTGACTCTATCCGGCGCCGCTTAACGGACGAGGGCGTGGATTCCGCGTATAGCGGGGACGCGGGTGATTCGCACGAATCTAGCGACACGCTTCGAAGGGGGCTTCAAAGCAGCAGCAACGGGAAGTTGAGCAAAATTGGCGGCGTAAAAGTGGGAGGGATTTTAGATACGAGCGGCTTTAAGGGCGCGTACAACAGCCTGTTGCCGCCCCGGATAAATGCGATCGTCGCTAAGGACGGCTCCGGCACGCACAAGACGCTCACGGTAAGGGTGATGTGACGGCTAGCGGCTAGGGGTGGTGTGACGGCTAGCGAAACAGCAGCCTGCTGCCGCCCCGGGTGAACGCGATCATCGCTCATGGCTGGAGGTAAAGTGAACGAGAGGTTCGAGAGGTTCAGAGAACGAGGGATGAAAGGGAAATCGTCTCGTTTTTGGATTCTCCGATTGCACGATCGGAACGATGCTAGACATCGGTTTATTTCGCAACTTACGGCAGTAACATTTTCTGTGTCCTCGTTGCTTGAATGCAGGCTGCGATTGCGTCCGCACCCATGAAAGGCACGTTCGTTATATTCATCAAGAAAGGAGTGTACGTGGAGCAGATTCTCTTTGACAACCAGGGAATCGTTCTGGTGGGGGAGGGAATGGGCAGGACTATCATCACTAACAACAAGAATGTGGTTGGCGGATCCACCACCTTCAACTCTGCTACCATCGGTAAGCAGTCTCCCTCTCTCTCCGTCTCGCCTCACTCCCTCCCCCCTCACTTCCAAATGCTCTCCTCTCTCTCCCATTCTCCCTTACCCCCCCGAGCCACGTTTATGCTGACAGCCCTCTCGTGCTCTCTTGCTCTCTTGCTCCCTTGCTAACCCAACCCCCACCCCCCACAACCCCAGGCGCCAACAAGAGCACGTTTACTGCCCTCGGCATAACAGTCCGCAACACAGCTGGGACAGTGGTTCAGCAGGCACTGGCTCAGCGCTCCCTCCTCTCTCTCCCTCACTCTGCCTCAATCCCTCTCCCCCCTCCCATGCGCCAACAAGGGCATGTTTACGGCCCTCAGCATAACAGTCCACAACACAGCCGGGCCGGTGGGCCAGCAGGCAGTGACTCTGCGCTCTGAAGACACGCTTTCTCTCGCTCTTTCTCTCTTTCCCCCACCCCCCAGGCGCCAACAAGGGCATGATTACGGCCCTGGGCATCACTATCCGCAACACAGCAGGCCCAGTGGGTCAGCAGGCGGTAACCCTGCGCTCAGAAGACCTCTCAGCAATCTTTGTCTGCGAGTTTGACGGCAATCAGGACACGCTCTACCACTAGCTCTCACTCCCAGCCCCCTCACCTCCTTTCTCTCTCTCTCTCACAAACACACTCTTCTTGTCCCCCACTCCACGGGCCAACAAAGGCATGTTTACGGCCCTCAGAATAACAGTCCGCAACACAGCCGGGCCAGTGGATCAGCAGGCGGTGGCCCTGCGCTCAGAAGATCTCTCGGCTTTCTTCGAGTGCGAGTTTGACGGCAACCAGGACACACTCTACCCTCACAGCACAGTACCCCCTCTCACCCTCACCCCACCACCCTCCTCCCCGTCTCCCTCTCCGTCTCTCTCTCTTTCCCGTTCCCCCACCACCAGGCGCCAACAAGGGCATGTTTACGGCCCTCGGAATAACAGTGCGCAACACGGCCGGGACAGTGGGTCAGCAAGCAGTGGCCCTGCGCTCCGAAGACCTCTCAGCTTTCTTCGAGTGCGAGTTTGACGGCAACCAGGACACGCTCTACCCGCACAGCGGGCGGCAGTATTTCCGCGACTGCAAAGTGGGCGGCACGGTGGATTTTATCTTTGGGAAAGGCGCGGCCGTGTTCGACCGCCCGCAGATCAGGCTTCATAAGGATGATCCTGTGATTATCACTGCTCCACAGAACGACCCCACATACCCGGAACCCAAGGGGATTATTATCCGGAATGCGGTGATTACCGCAGATGCGGGAGTGGGGAAGGCTTATCTGGGTCGGCCGTGGACCAACACGGGGAAGGCGATTTTCATCAACTGCTTTCTTCCCAAGGTGAGAGACGCTTGAGGTGGGCGTGGGATGAAGCTCCCCCCCTGGGGTGACCAATAAAACATGGGTAAAGCTTCATAAGGACAATCCGGTGATCATCACGGCGCCACAGAACGACCCCACGTACCCGGAACCCAAGGGGATCATTTTCCGGAGCTGCTTCCTGCCTGAGGTGAGACATGCTGCCTTTATTCCAGGAGCCCACAGAACGCGCCTCAGAATGACCCCACGTACCCGGAACCCAAGGGGATTATCATCAGGAATGCGGTGATTACTGCCGATGCGGGGGTGGGGAAGGCGTACCTGGGCCGGCCGTGGACCAACACTGGCAAGGCGATTTTCATCAACTGCTTCCTTCCCAAGGTGCGACAGGCCACTCATGGGGGGGTCGGAAAGGCGTAACCGGGCCAGCCATGGTCCAACGCGGGCGGAATGACCCAGCGTACCCGGAACCCAAAGGGATTATTATCAGGAATGCGGTGATGACTGCGGATGCGGGTGTGGGAAAGGCCCCTCCCCCCTGCTTCCCCCCCCCCCTTTCCCCCCCTCACTCTTCCCCCCTTTCCCCCCTCACTCGTCCCCCCTTTCCCCCCTTTCCCCCCCCTCACTCTCCCCTCATTCCCCCCTTTTGCCAGGAAGTCCATCCGAACGGGTGGATGACGTGGGACACGGACACCATGAAGCTTCTTACTCAAGTCCCTGCTTTTCTCCCCCTGCTCTTCTCCTCGTTCCCCCCCTGCTCTCCCCCTTTCTCTCCCCTCCCCTCCCAGGAAATCCAACCCGATGGGTGGATGACGTGGGACGTTGACACCATGAAGCTCGCCACGAAGAACGGCGTCTATTTCGCGGAGTTCCAGAGCACGGGGCCGGAGCGCGGTGCCATCTGGGCGCATGCCACACCACCCCACCTTACCTTACCTTACCTCGCCCCGCCCCAACCCACCCCACCCCACACCACCTCCCCATCCCTTCACCCTCCCAGGAGATCCAACCCGATGGGTGGACGACGTGGGACACGGACACCATGAGGCTCGCCAGGAAGAACGGCGTCTATTTCGCCGAGTTCCAGAGCACGGGGCCCGGAGCGCGCATGCCACGTGCCAGCTGGGTGTCGCCCCAGAGGATTGTCAACCCCGGGCGATTCACAGCCGAGGCTTTCCTTGGCTGGACGAGCAAAGGCTGGGCGGGGATGGGGGTCTGATGTTGTACTTGTTGCTCCGCTGCCGCGTGCCAGCTGGGTATCAGTGGTGGACTGGGGGGGGGAGGGGTGGGGGGGACGGGGGGGTGGGGGGTGTTTGGGGGCCTGACGTTGTACTTGTTTCTTCACTGCCGCGTGCCAGCTGGGTGTCGCCGCAGAGGATTGTTAACCCCGGGCGATTCACAGCCGAGGCTTTCCTCGGATGGACGAGCAAAGGCTGGGCGGGGATGGGTGCCTGACTTTGACAACAGCGGGAAATGAAGACGCTTTTAGTGAAGCAAGGCCGCGTAACAGGTTGAGAGAAAGGAGAACCATTGCGGGTACCGCTGAGGCGTTCATCGGGCGATAGCGGGAGGGCGATAGCGGGAGGGCGATAGCGGGAGGGCGATAGCGGGAGGGTGATAGCGGGAGGGTGAGCAGGAGGGTTATAGCGGGAGGGTGAGCAGGAGGGCTATAGCGGGAGGGTGAGCAGGAGGGCTATAGCGGGAGGGTGAGCGGGAGGGTTATAGCGGGAGGGTTATAGCGGGACAGCGTGATCTGATTCTCCAACACGCCGGCGACGACAGATGAGCTCCCGAACAAAGTCCGCCAGAAACCTAAAATAAAGAGGAAATGGTACAGCGTTGGGAATGGCATATGGAGTTCCTTCCAGCAACCTCGGTTGGACTTCACGTCGCGCTTCATCGTAGGCTCCCTTTGTCAGAATCCAGTTTTGAGGCGCCTCAAAACTAGGTTCCAGCAACGTCGGTTGGACGGCACGTCGCGCTTCATCGTTGGCTCCTTTTGTCAGAATCTGTAGAATGTTATCGCGATACGTGTTGTTGAATAATCCTGTATCATTATTATTATAATATATCCGGTCGGCTGGAATCTGGTACTTATCTTAATATCGTGCCTCCATCGTGCTGTTGCGCGCTCGCGGCGAGAGGTCCCTGCACAGAGGAATAAACTAAACGCCGCTTGAATGGCATACTATCGGGGAGGCAAGGTGCAACACACCGTGTTGCAAGGTGTTTAGCACACCGTGTTACAAGTACTGGGCCATGTTCGGCAGGCCAGGGGATACAGGGGGGGTTGGGGCGAGGGATCCGAAATGGCCAGCCTCGCCCCTAGTTGGATGGGTCAACTCTAGAAGGACCAGAGTTGACCCCAGGGTTTCGGTCCTGGCGCAAACGGGGGGACGGGGGGAGCTCGCGGATGGAAAATATCGAGATGGCGGAGGGGGGTCGAAGCTGCGTTGGACAGGACGAGAAACTTCCACCCTAGAAAAGGGTTATCGCACGCCAAATAAAAAAGCCCGAAACACTGTACGGATGAGTGAAAAAAGTAAATAATGAATCTCAAAAATAAAGGCGACACACAAGGGAAGTGTGGGCGTTGGGCCTGTCACAACCACACGGGAAGATTACAAACAGAGACAACTCGAGATTAGGCAGTTGAACGCCTCATTTTAGGGTTAGCGCAAATGACAGAACCTATTTCACTAAACCTACATTTCTACCCTCTTAATCACTTAGGACCAACGGACACTATAGAAGAAATAGTGGTCGAATTACTTATGCGTTTCTTAGCTACAATTTTGGCACAGTTTTACACTACAGCGTTCGAGGCCGTACGCGGTAGATTTTTCCCACAGCCCAGAAACACTTCCGCGCTGCGTGGCGAGTCATACATGCGTGAGTTAATGGACGGCCATCCGGCACGCATGCATGATCTTTTGCGTATGGAGCCTTCATTGTTCGAGAACTTAGTCGCGCTACTAGATCGACAAGATCGTTTACAGCACGGAACTCTCAAAGTTAGCGAACAACGGAATGATTGGAATAGAAACGAATGGGGTACAAATGAGCAACCCTAGAAGCTGTACCCCCTAGAGTGCAACTCACTATAGCCTATCATATCAATGTTCAACATTTGACACACCCCCATAGGCTAAGTGAGGGGCATCAAAGCAAGCAAGGTGAACAAACGGTCACAAGACCAGTCAAACCAAGAACCAAGGCAAGCTCAGGGTGGATCTCAAGGACACCACACAAATTCCGAGCGCAAGCAAGCGGCCACAAGGCCAGTTCAAGAGTTCACTAGGATATAAATACAAAGCACAACAAGCAGAGCAAGCAACAGGACTACACCAACCGAGGGCCTACCTCAACAAGCCCCAACTGCACACAGAACCTGTGGTGGTCACCAAGCGCCAAGGCCTTGGTGAAGACGTCTGCAGTGTTGGCCTCTGAGGCCACAAAGTCCAGGCGTGCCTGACCGCGTCGCTGCAGCTCTCGCGGGAGGAAGTACCTCACTTCAATATGCTTCACTCTGCTCTCCAGTCGAGGCTCTCGACACAGGAGGATCATGGCCTTGTTGTCAGCGTACAAGGTCGGTGCAGAGCGAGGCCGCTCACCAAGGTCAGCGAGCAAGAAGGTCAACCAGCGAAGCTCCTGTGCCGCCATGGCACCAGCGTAGATCTCTGCCTCTGCACTGGAAGTAGCCACAGACGACGACCGTGTAGACCTCCACGACACAGCACCAGCTCCCAGACTGAAGCAGTAACCCTGAGTCGAACGCTGAGTCTCCACGTCGTCAGCGTAGGAAGAGTCGCAGTGACCAGTCAACGCCACTGGCTGAGTCCCTCCAAGCACAAGCCCCAAGCCTGATGTAGTCGCCAGGTACTTCGCCACCCTCACAGCAGCTGTCCAGTGGACAGGGCGGTGTCTCCCAGTCGCAACAAAGCGAGAAAGGATGCTGAGTGGAAAGGCGAGGTCCGGTCGAGTACAAGTCATCAGGTACATGAGGCAGCCCACCAGCTCTGCGTAGGGTCCACTGGACTCAAAGGGCTCGTCAGGAAAGGGGCCCGTGAGTCTGTGGTCAACAGCAAGAGGAGTGGGCTGTGTGGTGGAGAACTGGAAGTGGAACCGCCGAAGGACCTGCTGCACCATGTGTGACTGCGTCAGTGTGATGGTGCGAGCGGCTCTGTCCCGGGTGATCTGCAGGCCAAGGTAGCGCTGCAGCTCACCCAGGTCAGTGCACTTGTGTCTCTTCTGCAGTTCGGACTTCACCTGAGCCAGGGCTGCCCTGTCTGCTGTAGCAAACACCAAGTCGTCAACGTAGACAAGGATAAAGAAAGGAGTAGAACCCGCTCGAACAAACAGCGACGGGTCGGCGGAGGACGGGCTGAACCCAAGGTCACAAAGCGTGGAGCGAAGAGTGTCGTGCCACCCACGGGGCGACTGGCGGAGACCGTAGACTGGTCGTCTCAGGCTCCACTGGGTCCCAGGTGGGAAGGTGTCAGTGAAGCCAGGAGGACGGCGCAGCCAGATCTCCTCGTGCAGACGGCCCTGGAGGAACGCAGTGGAGAAGTCGAGGGAGTGCAGCTCGTAGTATCGATGCGCTGCTATGTGGAGTAACACCCGAAGAGTAGTCATCTTCGGGGTCGGGGCGAAGGTCTGGAAGAAGTCAACTCCCTCACGCTGACTGAAACCCCTAGCCACGTAGCGCGCCTTGAACACCGGCGGTGCTCCAGGCGGCCGCTTCACCTTGAAGAGCCACATGCCATCGACTACGTTCGCCCTGGGAGGGGGAACTGCGTCGACGTAGGTGCCTGTGGATCTCCAAGACGCCAACTCTGAGTCCATAGCCGCTTTCCACTGAGAGGCCCACGCCCCTGACACTGCCTCGCGGTAAGTGCGAGGAGTCGGTATGTCAAGGGCGTCGGGGTCTCCCTCAGGGGAGAGCAGCATGGCACACACAGAGGGAGAAGCGGCTGCCCAGTACTCCAGCTCAGACTCTCTGTCCTCTAGGACGTCACAGCCAAGGGCAAACCCACCCCCGACGGACAGAGGACGGTAGGGAGGAGCTGGCACCACACGGGTGGCGTAGTCAAGGCGGCTGGCGGCAGCAAACTCAGCGACAGCGGCAGTGAGAGCCGAGACAGACGACGGAGGGAAACGAGGGTCGGTGACAAGAGTGGTGAGGACACGTGCGGCAACAGGACGAACAGCGCGGTAGTAGTCAGAGATAGGAGTGGGGAGGGCAGGTAGAGAGGACGGAGGAGGAGACGGGAGAACGGACACAGGAGAAGGAGAACGACGACGAGACGAACAAAGGAGGGCAGTGTGGAGGTCAGTAACAGGGGACGAGTGACGAGCACGCGGAGGACAACGAGTGATCAAGTCGCGACGGACAGAGGGAGGAGGAGACTGAGGAGGAGGAGAAGACCAGACCGCCGGACGGTCGTCAGGAGGAGGCAACGGAGGAACAAACACAGGAGGAGACTGGGAGCGGACAGGAGGAGAGGAGGAAAGGCCAAGGGCCCGCAAGCCACTCACAGGTGGGAACAACCGCCGCTCTAGAGGAAGCTGCGGTGGCGGCTGCGGCCGCTGCGGCTGCGGCTGCGGCTGCTGCTGCTGCTGCGGCTGTGGCTGCGGCTGCGGCTGCGGCTGCTGCTGCTGCTGCCGCTGCTGCTCCAGAAGGTCCAGCACCCGCAGCTCCTGCCGCTCCCTCTCCAACCGCTCCTGCTCCTCACGCTCACGCCGACGGGCAGCCTGGAGACGCGTGTCGTGGCGGTGGGGGGGCGGGGTGGACTCCGCAGAACCAGGGTCTCCAGCGTCAGTCTCCTCAGACTCAGCACCCCCAGAACTAGTACCGCCAGTGCTAGGACCTCCAACTCCAGCACCCCCAGAATTAGCACCGCTAGTGCCAGCACCCCCAACTCCAGCACCCCCAGAACCAGCACCTCCAGTGCCGGCACCTCCAGCTCCAGCACCCCCAGAGCTAGCGCCACCTGCGCCAGCACCTCCAGCTCCAGCACCCCCAGAGCTAGCGTCACCTGCGCCAGCACCTCCAGCTCCAGTACCCCGCGACCGAGCACCCCCAGACCGAGCACCGCCAGCGGCTGCACCTCCAGCTCCAACACCAACCGAGTCCACAGTAACCTGTCGCGGAAGTGCCGAAGGCTGCTGAGGGGACTGTGAGGAGGACTGCGGGGAGGGAGACGCTACCTGACGCGC